CCCGTAATTGCGCACCTGCGCAACCGTCTCTGACCCAAGCGCCCCGGCAGAGTGACGAGCCCCACTCCAGGCAATAAAGCAATCAGTTTGGCGATTTGTCCGCCAGCGATTGGCCCAAGTGCGCGCGCGCGTGCAAAAAACGGCGCGCAACCTGCCAGATGTTTCCCAGACAGAGGTCGGGATAAACACTCCGCTGACACACGCAGCAGAGACGTCGCATCCAAACGCACGCAAGAGAAACCACGATTCTTGGCATCGACACTGCCGGACAAACCCAGCGAAACAGTGCCACGGCCACAGAGCTGCCCTCTGCTCCCTTGGGCGTGGCTTAATGGGGGTCACAAATGGGGGGGTCAGAAAAGGTCCCCTTTCGTGCCCCTTTCGGGCCCCATCCAGAGCCCCAGGGGGCTCGTTTAGGTACCATTTGGGTACCTTTTCGGACCACACTCGCCGCCCCCCATTACGCAACGCCCAACTCCCATGGGTGCAGGAGCGCCCGGAGAGGGTGAGCGCAGCGTGCATACACAGAAGCATCGTTTCACGAACACGCAGACAACTCCGCGGCCCCCGTCAGCAAGCCGTCGAAGCGCGACGCGCAGTGTCGAATGCAGCGGCCCGTGCCCCGCGTACAGTTGTGGCGTTGACCTAAGGAACCCTAAGTAAGGAACGAGGCCCCTTTTTTCCATAAGTTAAACTTCGATTTCCTGTCGAAAACATAAGGAAAACCTGAGGCAAACTGTAAAACAATCAAGGAACACCGAGCCCCTCCCCAACGAGAAGGGTTCCTTCTGCAGGGCCCCGGCTGTACGCTCGTGGCGGGTCGCGGCCTCCCGGGGCCCAGGCGCCAGGAGGCTGGGTCACTGACCCGCAGCCCACGCCACCCAAGAGCACATGGGCCTTCTCGAGGGCCCCCCTCCCGGGCCAGCTCTCTTGAGGGGGCCCAGGGACACACGAGTAAGTGGAAACATACCCCAGGAGCCGCCGTGCGTTCCCGTATTTTCGGGGTGCTCCTCTTCCCCGCACCTCCCATGTTTTCCTAGATTAGAGGGCAGAAAATCCACCCCGACAATAACCACCCCGACACGCGAAGCAGTTTAGTAAACGCACCCAAAAAAGGAATCGAACGGGGCAGGGATGTTTAGTAAACGCCCAGGGCCGTTTAGTAAACGCCAATTGTCCGGTCCGGGTGGTTTTTCCTCCCTTGATAGATCTGCCGAGGGATCGACGATTGCGGCAGGTTCGCGCCGTGTCGACCCCGGCGCTGGCTCCTGACGCCGCGGGGACCGTTCAGGCTTGACCGATCGGCTCTTTCAAAAAGGCCGGACTGTTCTGGGCCACAGGCGGCGCTCAGCCCTCAACACCCGCGCTGGGGTCGCTGCACGCCGCGGAAGGGTGTGCTGGGGCAGCCTCTCGCCAAGGACGCCCTTCTGCTGGGGGGCACGCCGCGGAAGGGTGTGCTGGGGCAGCCTCTCGCCAAGGACGCCCTTCTGCCGGGGGGCACGCCGCGGAAGGGTGTGCTGGGGCAGCCTCTCGCCAAGGACGCCCTTCTGCCGGGGGGCACGCCGCGGAAGGGTTTGCTTGGGCAGCCTCTCGCCAAGGACGCCCTGCTGCTGGAAGGCGCCCGGGCCCGGGAGGGAGCCCGCGCCGGCAGCGCGCCGCAAGGGGTTGAGCTCAACACAGGGCTGGGGCACTGCCTCTGGGCGCGGAACCAGGTGGGGCCCACGGGGCAGTGCCTGGACGCCGGTCGGCACGCCAGGGCACGCCAAGAGGGAGGCGTCCGAGAGGGGGGAGCGCAGAGCGTGGCCGGCGGCACGTGCGCGGCCCCCGGGGGGGGGGGAAGGAGGGGGGGGCCAGGGGCGCATTGAACTGAGAAGAGGCGCAGCACGAAGCCTGGGGAGATGTCATGGCCCTCGCCACGAAGGCCCTAGTCTTGAAACGGGCCTGTCCCCCTACAGGGGGGTTTTTCGCCTGTCCGCCTCTCCCTGGGAGGCCACCCCCCCGCGCGCGCCGAGCGCCCCCCCCCCGCCGCCCGCCGGCCGGCTCTCGCCCTCCTCGCCCGGGGCGGAGGGAGGCGGGGAGGAGCAGGAGGAGGGGGACACGCAGAGAGGAGGAGGGGAAGGAGGAGGAGGAGGAGGAGGAGGAGGAGGAGGAGGAGGAGGAGGAGGTGGAGGAGGAGGAGGAGGGGGGGGAGGAGGGGGGGGAGGGGAGGAGGAGGGGGGCACGATAGGCGCAGGGAGAGAGAGGAGAGAGAGAGAGAGGGACACACACACACATACACAGACACCACAGACACAGACAGACACAGACACAGACACACAGACACAGACACACGACACACGACACACACACACACACACACACACATCGAGAGAGAGAGAGAGAGAGAGAGACAGCGAGCGAGCGAGAGAGAGAGAGAGGGAGGGACGGCGAGAGGGGGGGGGCGGAAACGCGAGCGGAAGGCGCCCGAGCCTCGAGAAGGTGGGCTGGGCTCGCGCGGCCCGCGGAGGGCGAGCTGGCACACCGAGGGGGGCGTTCGGGGGGGGGGGAGGAGGAGGAGGAGGAGGAGGGGAGGAGGAGGAGGAGGAGGGGAGGAGGAGGAGGAGGAGGAGGAGGAGGAGGAGGAGGAGGAGGAGGAGGAGGAGCAGCAGCAACAGCAGCAGCAGCAGGAGGAGGAGGAGGAGGAGGAGGAAGGGGAGGAGGACCTGCTCCGGGGGCGGGGGCGCCAGCCTGGGATCGGCGACACGTCGCTGATACAGTCGGAGCTCAACCAGAAGAGAGCTTCCACAAGAAACCCAACCCTGAGACCCCAGGGCGTTCATTGACTTTTGGTGCGGGAACGTCACGCTGTCCACAGCAAAACCACCGAAACCCAAGAAACCCAGGACACCCTGGAGGCAAGAAGGGTCGTTCCTGGCATGAGCTTCGACTGTAGCTCCACGATCGGATCCCGATAGCGGAAACGGCTATCGGGCCCCTACTTATCGGCGATCATGAAGAGGCCCTGGGACACACAAATAAATAGACACAACTAACTGGATGACCTCTATTTTCCCATATATCTTGGGTTTTGTTTTCCCCCCCTATGTTCCTATATTTTCTGGGGATCGACGATTACTTGTGTCTGTGTGTTGTTTGTCCCCTCCTGAGATCAATGGGCAGCTGGGGGTCGATGCAGCCCCACCTGGGACCGTCCCCTCTTGACGTTGCCCCTGAGCTCCCGCTTCCGCTCCGGGCCACAACCCGTGCCTCTGGCGGCCGTTCGAACCGATCTTGGCATCCACGGGAACTTCTCAACGAGGCGCAGCTGATGGAAACCACCCCGGGCTTCGAACACCTTCGGAAACCACCACGAGCTTGAGAACACCTCCGAGAACCCCGTGAGCCTATCCCCGTGTCCCGTGGCATTCGGGCCATGACTCGGGTCCCTGGCGGCTGTTCGGGACGATCTTGGCACCCCCAGAACGCCCTCGGCGAGGCGCAGACTCTGGAGAGCGCCCCGAAGATGGAAAGCCGCCGAAAGCGTCGGACGATCCCCCAGAGCCTATCCTGTTTCTAGATGGGGACTCCCAGCCTGGGTCGGAGTAGAGTCGGACTGGGGCCAGAAGAACACCCTTCAAGAACATGAGACCCTCCGTCGGCCAGAACAAACAGAACATCCGAGGGCACCCACTCCAGGATGCACAAAAACATCCGAGGAACACACAAAAAAACACTACTTAGGGTACCCTCCCCGAACCGACCTCGATCTTATACCTCGGTCCGACTGTAGATGGGGTCGGAGGATCGCGCCGCACCGTCGATGCATCATCACCGTTGCACCACCAATGCATCGGCGACGCTGGCGTGGAGAAAATCGGGCTCCACACCGAACCGCATCGCCGATGCAGCGGCGATGCGGTGCGATACTCCGACCCCGTCGAACTCTGGACCCCTTCTTGGGAAGCCTAGAAAAGATGGAGAAGGAGCAGGCAGAGGAGGCCGCCCATCTATTCCAGACCCCATCTGGGGGGCCTAGATTCCAACGCTGCCTTCGACACGCTGAATGGCAACGATAGGGGGGGACTGGCATAAGGATGGTTGCATCGACATGGAATCAGCGATACATCGCCGATAGATCGGCGATTGACCTCTGATAGTGAATCCGCACCTTTCTGGGCAGATTGTGGCTATCGGGCCCCTATCGGCGACCAATGGGCGACTGCTTGTCGATGCATCCCCCCTATTTGAGCAGGGGCCGACCGTCCCTGCATTCCGATACGTAGGCCTACCACGAAAGTTTCTCAGAATCTCAATATGTTCGAATAACAAGAACAATGTTCTTAGAACATAACCCCGATGGTTCAACCAAGACAGCCCCAGCCAGAACTATTCGAAAAACGTTCCCTGCGAACCACGAAAGGACCTTGGAGAACATTCTTTGGTGGGCCACGAGGCGAGCCAGGACGCTCCGCACCTGCTTGACATATGCCCAATTTCCCTATTAGAAGAAACAAGCGCCATAAACATAAGCTGTTGGCGCTCCGCGCGGATTTCTTGGATCCGCGCTGGACCCCCTTCCCTGGCGCGCGGAGCGCGCCAGTGGCGGCGCCTCCGGCGCCGCGGCGGGGGCCCCAGCGCGGATCCAAGAAACCCGTGCGGAGCGCCAACAGCTTATGTTTATGAATGACGTTTTCTCTTCGTCGACATGTGCCAAACCCCCCCTGTTGAGCAGGGACCGACCGTCCCGGCATTCCTATAGTCCTACCACGACATGTTCTTAGAACCCACAAATGCTCTAAGAACAACAACAATGTTCTTAGAACATCGACCCGATGTGCTAAAACAAGGCAGTCCCAACCAGAGTGTTTCTAAGAACATCTCCCGCATACCACAAAAAAGGTTCTCAGAACATTGCTTGGTGGGGCTCTAGGCGAGCCGGGACGCTCCGCCACTGCTTGACTGTCGTTGCCCTTGACGCGCGGCCGGCCCCGGAGAGGCGGCGGCCGCAGGCCCCGCGGCGGTCACCGCAGCCGGGCGCACGGCAGGAGCTGCAGGCACCGCGGGGGGGCGCACCTGCTCCGCTGCAGCGCGCGCGGGGGCAGCGCGGGCGGGGTTCGCCTGCACGGCTTCCACCGGGGCCGCAGGCGACCCGAGGAGGAGGAGGAGGAGGAGGAGGAGGAGGAGGAGGAGGAGGAGGAGGAGGAGGAGGGGAGGAGGAGGAGGAGGGGGAGGAGGAGGAGGAGGAGGGGAGGAGGAGGAGGAGGAGGAGGAGGAGGAGGAGGGAGGGAGGAGGAGGAGGAGGAGGAGGAGGAGGAGGAGGAGGAGGAGGAGGAGGACGGGTCGCCTAAGCCTTTCGGAGAAACCCTCCAGGTCCGCCTGGGCTTCGCAAGCGGGGACTCAGCCAAACGGGGGCCTAGGCTTCTCCGTGTGCCCCCGCTGACAGTACGGGCTCGTCCACAAGAAACCTTCCACAAGAAACCCAACCCTGAGACCCCAGGGCGTCTCTTGACCTTTGGTGTGGGAACGTCGCGCTTTCCACCGCAAAAACAGTCGAAACCCAAGAAACCCAGGGCACCCTGGAGGCGAGCAGGGTGTTTCTTGGCATGGGCCTCCTCTGTACTGTGGCCCCGTCTCCGGCGCCACGGGCACCCCCAAGCGGGGGCACGGCCCAAGGGGGGATATCCGCGCTCCCCGTGCCCACGTCTGCTGCGCCCCCGTCTCTGTCGCCCCGAGGGCCCGGGGGCTGCAGATCGCTCTGGGGGCTGCACCTGCCGAACCGGGTGCGGGGCCGCCGTGCGGACCCTGCCGCTGGGGCCCACGGTGGAGCTTCCTACGCAGCCACGAGACCTCGCCATCGCTCGGACGTCCATTTCCCGTGCATGTTTCGGTCTCGTGCGTGTTTTTTATTGCCCGATGGTCCAGGATCGTCCTCAATGGTTCTCGCCTAGAAAGAAAGCACACGTCCGAGCGATGCCAGGAGTGAAGGGGCCCTGGGACACACAAATAAATACACACAAATAAAAGGATTTCCCATATTTTCATATATTTTTTTGGGTTTTGTTGTCTTCCCCCCCACTGCCCATATTTTTCCAATATTTTCCTGGGGGTCGAGGATTCATTATGTCTGTGTGTTTTGTTCCCCCTCCTGAAGGAGACGTGCGAGGGGCATGCCGCATCGGGTGCGGGACCGCCACGCGCACCCTGCCACGGGGGCCTTCGGTGGAGCTCCCGACGAGGCTCCGGTCCTCGCGGGGGGTCTGCCGGAAGGGGCGCGCGGACGGCCGAGGCACGGAGGGGAGGAGGAAGTGTGGGAGAGGAGGGAGGGAGGGGAGAGGAGGAGGGAGGAGGCAGGGAGGGAGGGGAGGGGAGGAGGGAGGGGGGGAGGGAGGAGGAAGGAGGAGGGAGGGAGGGAGGGAGGAGGGAGGGAGGGGAGGAGGGAGGGAGGGGAGGAGGGAGGGAAGTATGGGGGAGGAGGGAGGGAGGGAGGGGAAAGGAGGCGCGGGGCGCTCTCTTCACAACGAGAACCCAATACCACATGATGGTGGGGACCCACAGGCAGCCAAGGCGGGGCAGAAACAGGCAAACCGCCGGAGACATCCTCAACATCTGCTCCGAGAGCAGAGGATGCTGGGCACGCAAATCGGCAAACCGCCCGGGACATCCCAACAACCTGGGCGCAAATCCTGAGTGTCCTGACCCCTGGCGCCCCCCCCAGGAGTGCTGAAACCAGCGCCTCGTCTGACAAATCCTCAGAATCTGCTCCGAAAACAAGGGGTGTTGGGCACGCGAACAAGCAAACCGCCTGAGACATCCCCCCCCAATCTGCGCGCGAATCCTGGAATGTCCTGACTCCCAGGCCCCACCTTACGTAGGAGTGCTGACACCAGCGCCTCGCCTGAGACATCCTCAGCATCTTGTCCGAAAGAAGAGCATGTTGGGCACGCAAACAAGCAAACAGTCTGAGACATCCCCACGATCTGGGCGCGAATCCTGGAGTGTCCTGACCCTTGGCGCACCCTGCTTGGGGTGTCCACATGCTACGCCTGCTAAATCGCCGCGAACATTGGACCACCAATGGGTACGAATGAGTCTGGGTCAGAATATGAGAGGAGTATGCGTACAAGTTACTACGAGTGCGAGCGAGTCCGAGAGAGTGAGTCTGAGTGTGACTCAGTTCTGAGTGTGAGCGAGTCACTCTGGCGGAGGATGAGGTCAGCAGGAGGGTGTGTTCTCTCGGAGCCGTCCAGGTAATGACAAGAACTGCATCTCAGGATATGTGGGACAACAATAAAGGGAAATTAGGACACACAAATAAATACACACAAATAAAAATAGAACCCATATTTTCCCATATTTTTGGGTTTTTGTCTTCCCCCCCAATTCCCATATTTTCCCATATTTTCCTGGGAATCGAGGATTAATTGTGTCTGTGTGTTTTTTCCCTCCTGAAACAAGCAGCCCATCTCAGGACACCAGGAAGAACCTGCCGTCGGCTGGGTGGGACCTGCCCCGCCCCCCGCCCCGTAAGCTCCTGCGGCTGCTCCTCGCAGCTGCCCTTGCCCCTGCTGCTGCGGAGGAAAACGATGAGGAAGGGAGGGGTACACCCCGCGAAATGCTTAAGAAATCATGGGTTAAGAAATTCACAGTCTCAGAACTTGAATAAAAACCCAACGTTTCTATTAACATCTGAAGATTTACATGGAAACGTCAAGAATAATCGAGACTCTGGCCGAAAACTTAGGTTTTCTTAAGCATCGCCTGAGGTGTACAGTGGAGGCCTGTCCACAAGAAACCTTCCACAAGGAACCCAACCCTGAGGCCCCAGGACGTCCGTCGATGTTGGGTGTGGGAACGTCGCGCTTCCCGCGGCACAACCATGGAAACCCAAGAAACCCCGGGCACGAAACCCTGGAGGCAAGCGGGGGGGGTCTCTTGGCACGGGCCCGCGCTGCACCCTCGTAGCCGGGGCCCGTAGAGTCCAGCACTTCTTCGGTCTTGTGTGCAGTCTGCCCTTGGGTGGTTCTACAGCCTTCTCGACGCAAGTGCGGACAGTCGCTGCGCTGTCGGGCCGGGCAGCTGCAGCCGCTGGCGCAAGGTCTCACGTTCCGCCTGGAGCATGGGCCTGTTCTGCACCACCACCACCATAAGTTGGAGGGGGAGGGGGTCCTCCTCCTCCTCCTCCTCCTCCACCTCCTCCTCCTCCTCCTCCTCCTCCTCCACCTCCTTTCCCCCTACAACTTATGGAGGTGGTGGTGGAAAACAGACCCATAGTCTGCGGACAAACGTCTTTTTGAGTCCCTCGTGCCAGTGCGCATGTTGCCGTCGTCGGTGTCCTGGGACATCGGGGCATCGACCTGCATGGCCCCTTCGGCTGGTGGTTCCTGATTTCCGCCCACCGCACGAAACTCCTTCTCGGTCTTCGAAAGACTGGAGACCTTTGCTTCAAGCTTGTCGATCTGGTCAATCAACTTGGCCTCCAGCCAACGTGGCATCACTGTTGGGCTCGGAAGAGACATACAACGGCACCGCGTTGTCGAACACATCCGGTTTGTAAACATACACGCACATACACACTCTCACATTCACGCACACATTCACACATTCACGGATACACACAACCACACACACACACTCACACTCGACCTCCCGCTATTGGTACAAGACGGGGAAGCAGCCCAACTCACCCACTAAGGCTGTTTTTTTTACCGTGCGCACAGAAACTCCAATGCCACCTGCGACCCCAACGCAGCAAGCTGCATGGGGCTCGCCTTTTCCGCTTTTCGCCGAATTCCCCGCTAATGCGAACCCAGAAGCTCACCAACCCAACACTCTGGTACAGTCGGGGCGTTGACCTAAGGAACCCTAAATATGGAACGAGGCCCCTTTTCTCCAGAAGTTCAACTTCGATTTCCCATCGAAAATCCAAGGATAACCTGGGGCAAAATGAAAACAATGAAGGAACACGGAGCCCCTCCCCAACGAAAAGGGTTCCTTATTCAGCGCCCCGACTGTACCATCCACGCTCCTGCAGGAGCTCACCGCCCCGGAGCTCCGCACAAAGGTCCAGGCCTGGGGCTGATCATGAATGGGCACCAGGACACACAAATACATACACGCAAATAAAAGGATTCCCCCCATTTTCCCATACTTTCTGGGTTTTTTGTCTTCCCCCCCACTTCCCATATTTTCCCATATTTTTCTGGGGAATCGACGATTAATTGTCTGTGTGTTTCTTTCCCTCCTGAGATCAGGCTGATGAGACGAACCGAGCCGTGGATCATCGATGTCCGTCCCGTCAGCCTGAAGACTGATCAGCCCCCCAAGGAAACAACGAGCCAAAATGGCTTTGGAAGGGGGGCCGATCGAGGCCTCCTAGGAGTGGGTCCGAGCAGAGGGGTCGGGCACCGCGCAGCATCGCCAATCCATCGCCGATGCATCGGCGACGTCAGCGATACCTAGAGATGAGGAGAAGGATAAGTAAAAAGGTGGAAGATGGGGGCCTCCCACTCACTCAGGAGGAAGAGGAGGACCTCCCACTCGCTCAGGAGGAAGAGGGGCCTCCAACTTACTCAGTAAAGATCGGGGATAGACAGAGCCTCCAATCGTAAAACGTGGTTTAGTGATAACGACCTCGGGCCCCAACCTGGCGGGCGCAAGCCTGGAAAATGACGGCCGCGGCGTCCCCTCGAGAACCGAAGACGGACAAATTACTAATCGACGTGTCAGGGTGGGGGTTCTGTCCACCCCCAAGGGCTCCCAACTTCGCGCTTCGCGCTGCGCGAAGCGCGAAGTGCGAATGACTTCGCGCTCTCGCGCTGCCTCCCAGGAGAGAAGAGGAGCATGAGGAGGAATCCGAGCCGAAGAGCGAAGCGCGAATAACTTCGCGCCCTCGAGGGCGCCCCTCCCCTGGAGAAGAAGGTTGGAAGAGGAGGAAGCGGACCAGCTCCTCCTTCCTCCTCCCTCCTCCTCCCTGCTCCTCCTCCGTCCTCCTCTCCGCCCTCGTCCCTCCTCGCCCCTTTTCTATCACCCTCCTCCTCCTCCTCCTCCTCCTCCTCGTCCCTCCCTCCCTTCCTCCCCCTCCTCCCCCTTCTCCTCCTGGAGGGCCTCCCGCTCCTCCGCGCACGGCCGGGCGGCGCACCCCATCCGGGCCCGCGCCGCGCCGGCCTCCGGCGGCCGGAGCACCGACCCGGGCGGCGGGCCTCGGGGGGGCGGCCCCCCCCCCCCCGCTCTCGCCCTCGGCCTCCCAGGCCCCTCCCCGCTCTGCTGCGGGATGGACAGACCTCCCTTTCGTACAACGCGGGGAGGAGCAAGCACGGCCGACGCCGCCTCGCCCTCCGCCTCCCCGCCTCATCCCAGCCTCGGTCGTCTCGCCTCCTGCCTCCGACGCTCCCTCCTCCCAAGGTGGCGGCCACACGCGAGGAGCGCACCCGGGCAAGGGTCGGGGATGGACAGACCCCCCTTTCGTAAAACGTGGTTTGGTGATAACGGCCTGAGGCCCAGACCTGGCGAGCGCAAGCCTGGAAAACAACGGCCGCGGCGCCCTCTCGAGAACCGAAAACGGACAATTCACTAATCGACGTGTCACTGCTGGGGGTTCATGGACAAACTGATATTTTCGGGATCGTCGCTGTTTCAGTCCTAGCAGCGGCCACGACGTCCCCCAAGGCCCCCCAAATCGGCCCCAGACGGCCCAAGAGGCCCCTAAGAGGGCCAAAAGACGGCCTGAAGAGAGCTTCAAGCAGCACAAGAGAGCTCCAAGACGGCCCAAGAGTCCCCAGGGAGCCCCGAGAGGGCCAGCCCGCGGCGAGAGTCTCGATCCACGGAGAAGTCTTAGCTTCGAGGCCCCGCTGCTGCCCTCGGTGGTTCAAGGATGGGGTCCTGAGGGATGGTGTCCCGAGGATAGGAGGGGATCCGATGGTGAATTGCCGTTGTTTGAGGCACCTCGCCCTCGGGACCCCATCCCTCAGGAACCCATCTCTGGACCGCCGATGCCCAATGGGGCTCTGCCGCGCCCCTTCACCCCCTGGCTGCCGCCTCCTCCTGCGCCTCCTCCTGCCCTGCAGCCCGCTCCCTCGCCTCCTCCTGCTCCTGCAGCTGCTCCAGTCTTGCCCCTGCTGCTCATGCTGCTGCCGCTCTTCCTTGTGTGCTCTTCGACGTCCTCCGTCGCCTCTGCCCTCGCCCTCCTCATCTCCCAGGATCCTCCTCGCTATCCTCCCTTCGCTTGTCGTGCGGCACGTTCCGAGCAATAGCTGGTCAGCCGAAACTTTCCAGGAAGAGACACCGCCAGGGACCCTCGTCGAGTCGAACACCGCATCTGCTGAACCTGTGATTATCGGCACCACCCTTTCCTAGCCCACGTTCAACGATATGTATGCATTAAGTCAGAGAATCAGATGCGTGTGTGCATACATTCTTACATACATACAACCAGACATGCACACACATTCATGCATATATCAATACATACATACTTACATATATACATGTATGCACCCACACATGCATAAATGCATACACACATCCATGCATCCATACACATACATACATACCTGCATACATACATGCATGCGTACTTACGTGCAGGCATACTTACGTACGTACAGCAACACACACATGCGTTAAGGCAAGCGTGCATACATGCACGCATGCATAAACACAAGTATGCATACACGCACACGAACGCATACACATGTACATATGCAAACACGCATTCGTATATACATACATACATACATACATACATACATACATACATACATACATACAAACATACATACATACATACATACATACACACACACACATCCATACATCCATACATACATATATACATACACACACATACATACATATATGCATACATACATACATGCGTACATACATACATACATACACGCAGACATACGTATATACAACCATATACACATACAAACATGCATGCATGTGCACACGTTTGCATCCACACGTACAACCACACATGCATACGTGCGTACAACCATACATGCAGTCATGCATACACGCGTACCTACGTACATACAAACACCCACACACATGCATGCATACGTACATACCTACACCCATACACACACGCGCACACTTACATACAGCCTGGCACTCATGCACGTACGCATACATGCATGCATGCAGGCATGCATACATGCATGCGTGCGTACACATCTATAAATACTTATATTTTATATATACGTATATATATATATATATATATGCATGGATGTGTACATCGTTTCCAGTCTCCTTCAGTCTCCGATGATACAGTTCAGTGTTCTGCTTCCTACTGTGAACTGTTGAAGCCCGCGCGAGGGGGGAGAATCGAGGAGGGCCCTTGTCACAGTCACCTGGGGCGGGACTCGGAATGTCTGGGTCCCGCCCCAGTGGCAACAATAGGGGGCCACACGCGAACCCTACCCCTACCCCCCACGATTTCTGAGGGAGAGGGTGGGGTTCACTTCGCTCGGGAGCTCCCAGACGAAGTGAACCCCACCCTCCCCCTCAGAAATCGTGGGGGGTGGGGGTAGGATTCGCGTGTGGCCCCCTAAACAATACATGCGATGAGCGCCCCCGCAGCTGTAGTTCCCCGTCAGCTGCTTCATTCTCTGGCCCCCGAAGCCATGCTCCCTTGCCATTTACACCGCGTTCGCGTCCCCGAAGCAAGACACCCTCTCACAGTACGCTGTGTTCGCGCTCCCGGGACCATGACTCAGCGCAGCGCATGCAGTGTTTGCGTCTCCGAGGCAACACTCGCACGTGGCTTACGCAATATTTGAATCCCCGAAGCGATCCTTCTGTACATTATGCAAAGAAAGCGCAGTATTCAAGCTTTCGGGACAACAATCCTTTTATAAAGGCCCCCGAGACAGTACAAGAGGCCTCCGAGACGACCCAAGAGTGCTCCAAGGCGCCCACGATGGTTCCAAAACGGCCCAAAAGGCTCCCAAGAGGCCCCTAAGAGCGCTCCAAGAGCACCCCCAAGAGGGGCACAAATGGGTAACATCTGCGATTTTCCCTGGGTGTTTGATGGATTTTGGCACGCTCGCCTTCTCGGACTTCCGACGCTCCAAGACGGCCCAAGAGGCTCCCCAAGACGGCCCCCAAACGGCCTGAGAGGCTCTCAAGAGCGCCCCAAACAAGAGGGCCCCAAGACGGCTCAGGAGACCCCCAAGACGGCCCAAGAGTGCCCCAAGACGGTCCCACGAATGACCCGAGACGGGGAACCCGAACCCAAGTGGCCTCCGTTCGGAATTCCGACGCTGCTTCCCGACGGGGCCCAAGCCTCACAACATAGCTCTTGCATACCCCGTTCTCCGAGAGGCGGCCGGAGGCAGGGGGCGAAGCCCTTACGGACATATTGGACAACTGTGGCGCCGCTCCTAGATTTCATACGCCCCTCTGGTGTCCAGGGAATGAGGGACATGCGATGGCGAGAAGTGAGGGATGGAAAAGGCAGACATGGAGGACGGAGAAGAGAGGGGATGAAGAGTGAAGGGGAGGAGCTGAAAGGGCCCGCTGCACCATGGCATACCATGTCGAACGAGAACACCACGACTCACTAGTGGAATACTCAACCCGTCCACGCACGGGTCTACATCTATGTATACATACATATATATATGTATGCATACACAAATGTATATATATATATACATACACGTAGCACCCCGCAAATGCGGATAAGAGTGAGGGGGCGGTGGACACGTCGGCAGTCTGCGAGACTCCGGAGCCCGCCCCAGGCGCCGAAGTTTCACAAATCATACAGAAGCCCGCCGCAGGCGCCGATGTTTTTTCAAACCAATGTGGATGGGCCGCGGGTGGGTCGGTCACAGGTGGGTCGCAAGTGGGTCGTGGATGGGTCACGGGGTGGGTCGCGGGGTGGGTCGCGGAGTGGGGTGGGTCGCGGGGTGGTCGCGGGTGGGCCGCGGGGTGGGTCGCGGGTGGGTCGCGGGTGGGCCGCGGGGTGGGCCGCGGGGTGGGTCGCGGGTGGGTTGCGGGTTGGGTCGCGGGTGGGACGCGGAGAGGGTCGCGGGTGGGTTGCGGGTTGGGTCGCGAGCTAAGTCGCGGGGTCGGTCGCGAGGTGGATCGTAGGTGCGTCGCGGGGGGACGACGACACCAAACAACAACAACAACAACAACCACAACAACAGCAACAACAACAACAGCAACAAGAGCAGCAGCAGCAGCAGTATCAACAATAACACCAACAGCAGCAGCAACAGCAACAACAACAACAACAACAATAACAACAACAACAACAACAACAACAACAACAACAACAACACCAAATACAACAACAACAACAACAACAACAACAACACCAACACCAACACCAACACCACCAACAACAACAACAACAGCAGCAACAACAACGACAACAAACAACAACAAACAACAACAAACAACAACAACACCAACAACAACAAGAGCATCAGCAACAAACAAACAATAGCATCAACAACAACAGCAACAATCATAGTGAGACTGTTCGCTCCTATCTGCTCACGTGCCAAACCCTCGGTACCCGCCCTCCTATCTGCTCCTATCTGCAAACCCTCGGTACCCGCCCTCCTTGTCTTCGGTCGTACCCCCTTGGGGATATATCTTCCTTACTTGCCACGTATATTTAGTGCAGTCCCTCAAACACGGGAAGAGAGGACAGATGGAAGGGGGAGGGAGAAGAATGGAGCACGAGAGAAACTATCAGGAGGGGGGCAAGGAGCAGAAAACAAGTGGTAGAACTAGACGGGCAGATCGGGTGGGCAGACCCATAGCGGGCAGGTCGGGAAGGCGGGCCCAGGCGACAAGGTCGAGCAGGCGGGTTGCTGAAGCGTGGGTCCTGCATGAACCGCGAGGAAGTCTCAAGCGATAGCGCGGTTCCCAAATGAATCGTGAGAAAAGCCAGCGTGGGCCACGAAGGGCATAAAATCCGAGGCCACAGAGGGCAGCGACGGGGCCGGCGAGGGCAGCACCGGGGCCACGAAGGGCAGCGAGGGGGCCACAAAGGGCGACAGCGGGGTCACGAAGGCCATGCATACGGGGCCACGACGGGCGCGAGCGAGCGGGGGCCACGAAGGGCATTCGTATACGGGGCCACAAAGGGCGACAGCGGGGCCACTGAGGGCAGCAAAGGGGCCACGAAGGGCGCCAGCGGGGCTACGAAGGGCATGCGTATGTGGCCACGATGGGCGCGTGCGAGCGGGGGCCACGAAGGGCATATAATGCGGGGCCACACAGGGCAGCGACGGGGCCACTGAAGGCAGCAACGGGGCCACGAAGGGCAGCGAACGAAGGCGGGCGAGAAGAGCAGCGAGCGACGACTGCAGTCATTAACGGGCTGGTCGGGCGGGCAGGCCCCGACGGTCGGGTTGTTGAAGCGTGAGTCCTGCTTGAACCGCCAGGCAATATCTAGCGGGAGCGCGATTCCTAAGTGTCGAGGACCGGCATCTGAATAGAATGAGAGGAAATATCAAGCGAAGCGGTTCGGTGGTAAATTGCGAGGGAGTCCCAAGCGAGAACGCGATTCTTTAATAAATTGTCAGGATCTATCAAGCGGGAGCCGCGATTCGGTGGTAAGTTGCCAAGAAGTCACAAGCGAGAACACGATTCTTCATACATTGTGAGGAAGCATCAGGCGGAAGCCGTTGTTGTTGTAAACCGGGGGCCCACGACACAGCTTGAGCCTCAAGACTTCCCCTGATTAAAAACAGGGTGTGAGACCCCCACTCTGATATGTATGCATATCCTGCAAACAGCACTAACATATTGTTCTAGCAATGATCCCACGCAGAGGGGATGCTCTGGACGCAGAAAGCCTGCGTTATCTGCACTGCGATGACCTACGCGGGCGCACGCACGCTTTGCGATGCATCGAATCTGCTCGCCTGGCTGCTGCCCTGGGTGAGAGACGCGTGTGGTCCAATCGGTGATTCCCCAATCACAGCTTGCACTGAAGGGGTCCTAGCGGATATTGAAACATTTGGCAAACATTTCCCGCCAATTTTGGTAGCGGGCTGGGTTCCCGGGTTCCCAGTCCCGGGTTCCTGGTTTTTGTTTCCGGCCCGATTTCGGTGGGTTTCGGGTTCCTGGGTTCCTGGTCGATCCCATTTGCGAAAACCATCCACTGATTAAAATTTTCTCTGGTGTAATGAAGACAAAACGGAAGAGGACGGTGTGGCCGAAGGACGCACAGGCAGGAATTGGGAATGCAGCAGGATGCACAAGGCCATGCAACCAGGCACATAAAAATCGTCAGACATCGAATACATCTGCGGGCTTGGAACATGAACGATCAATCACGTGCGCAGCATGTGGCATACGACGGTGGCAACAGCTGAATACCTTGGGAATTTGTCCACGAGGCCATCGATGGTCCCATCGTCGCCCGTGGGTCCTCAGCATGGGTGCGTGGAGGCACAGCAGTGAACAAAAACATAGTTACCATCCAATGCATCTCTTCACTCGCTGCGAACGACGTGTCTCGCCCTGTCTTTCGCGCCGAGGGGTGGCCCCGAACACCCTCTGAGTGAGCCAGCAGGCTGCGCGGGTCAGGTCTCGGCGACTGCGCAGCCTGGTGCCAGCGCAACGCAAAAGGTTGCAACGTTGCGACATCCTGAAATAGGCGGCGAGCCAGGGCGGAAGTGAGAAGGGGCGTGTCTTCTCAGAAGGCTCGCAAGTCACCCGGACTTCTGAGAAGTTTTCTGAGCCTTCCCCGGAGACGAAAAACAACTTCTCAGAAGGCGCGAGGGCTTCTGAGAAGCCCCGCCGCCTTCTGAGAAGGCCTTCTCCTTCTCAATCCCCCACCTCTAAAACAGGGCTAGGATCGGGATCAATCGCTCCAGAGCGTTCCGGAGCGCTCTCAGAGCGTTCTGGAACGCTCTGGAGCGGCCGCGGCGCCCAATACATCCTCCAAACCCGCCGATTCTCAGAGATTTCGAGTTATCCCGATCCGATTTTGTCCCGATCTTCGCGTCGTTTTACCCTCCTCGCTCGCCGCCGATCAAAAGCTCAGCAGCTTGGGGATCGCGGTCCGGCCACAGTCGGCGGCAAGCACGGGAGGGGAAGTGAGAAATGGGCGGGCCTGCCCAGCAGGCTCCGAGGTCCCCCGGCCTTCTGAGAAGTGTTCTGAGCGCTTCCCCCCCAAAGACACACACAGACACAGACACAGACACAGACACAGACACAGACACAGACACAGACACAGACACAGACACACACACACACAGACACACACACACACAGACACACACACAGACACACACAGACACACAGACACACACACACACAGACACACACACGGACACACACACACACACACAGACACACACACACACACCAAAAGCATGTCAGAAGGCGCGAACAAGTTTCTGAGAAGTCTCGCCGCTCCTTCTGAGAAGGTCGCCTCCTTCTCAATTCCCCCCCTATCTCGCCGCCGATCAAAAACTCCACAGCTTGGGGATCGTGGTCCGGCCACAGTCGGCGGCGAGCACGGGAGGGGAAATGACAAACAGGCGGGCCTGCCCAGCAGGCTCCGAGGTCCCCCGGCCTTCTGAGAAGTTGTCCGAGCCTTCCCCCCAAAGACAGACACAAAAAAACGTGTAAGAGGGCGCGAAAAAGTTTCTGAGAAGTCTCGCCGCCTTCTGAGAAGGCTTTCTCCTTCTCCTTTCCCCCCCTCGCTCGCCGCCGACACCAGAGCGCCAACACACGGAACGAATCGGCTTCAGAAGAAATGAAACGTTTTTCCATTGGGGAGATGGAATGTTTCACAAGGCGATATGCAAGCTCAATGTGATGCATCATTGCAAATATTCATGTTCAACGCGGTCGGGCGCTCAGCAAAAACGTATGCTAAACAACACGGCCGCCTACCACTTGAGCGCCGGACGCACCAAGGCGATCGAGCCACCTCCATGGCGTCTGCAAGCCTTCGGGCGGCTCGCAGTCCTCCGCACGACGGCGCGCGCCCCACGTGCAGCACCGCTGCGCCCGGCTGCTTGTTGCACCTGGCCCTGCATCGTTGGAACCGCGAGTGCACGCGTGCATCCGATTGAGCAGGGACCGACCGTCCCAGCATTCCTAAGAACATTTTTCGTGGGAACCACAAAGGTTCTTAGAACATTGTTTAGTGGGGCTATATAAAAGGGGCCCCAGGACACACAAATAAATACACACAAATAAAAATATGCATTTTTTTCCCATAATTTTCTGGGTTTTTGTCTGCCCCCCACTTCCCATGTTTTCCTATATATTTTCCTGGGAACCGACGATTAATTATGTCTGTGTGTTTTTTCCCCTCCTGATATAGGCGAGCCGGGACGCTTCGCCACTGCTTGATCGGACAGTTCACGCACGTGGGGCACGCGCGCTGCGAACTCGGTGATCTGCGAGACCCCTGCACCACCGCTGGGATGCCGTCGGTCGCGTGAAGCAGCTGCACGTCGCCCTCGCGCCGCCGCCCGCCCTGGAGGAGGGTGCCTCCCCAGCCCCGGCCGCGGGGAAAAGCGATGCGCTTCCTGGCCCGCGTGCCGATGGTGCTCGCGCCGGGCCCTCTCGACTCGACTCGCTGATCCTCAGCTCGCGTGTTGGCGCCAACGTGCGCGTGTCCGCCGAAGCCCTTCAGTACGACGCAAGCGGTACAACCGAGGGCGGGCACCGGCTGCTTGCTGTCGGGGGAGCCGAAGGGGGTGGACACACCCCTCGAAGGCGGCCGCCAAGAGGGGGGCGTCCAAGAGGGGGGGGTGCAGACCATGGCCGGCGACACGCGTGCGGCCCAGCGGGGGGGGCCAGGGACGTCATGAGATAAGAAGCGCCATGAAATCTGGGGAAAAGTCATGGCCCACGCCATGGTATCCCCCCCCCCCCTGGTCATCACCCCCCCTCTGTGCCCCCCCGAACATCGGACCACTTCTTTCACGACTCGCGCCATGAAATCTGGGGAAAAGCCATGGCCCACGCCATGGTATCCCCCCCCCCTGGTCATCACCCCCCCTGTGCCCCCCCCGAACATCGGACCACTTCTTTCACGACTCGCGAAGGCACCAGTGGCCGCCCCCCCCCCTCCCTCCCTCGCGCGCTCGGCCCCCCATCCACGGGCCGAGCGAGCCTGGGTACACCGGGTGAGCGAGCCTCCCTCCCTCGCTGTGTTGCTCCCATCGTGCTCCAGGTTCAGTCGGGCCTGTCCCTCTACAGGAGGGATATCCAAAAATGGTCAGACAAAATCAGGGGACGTTTTTTTTTGTTGGGGGGGTTATTATTGTGCATGTGTTGGGTATTTTGTATGTTTCATCCAAAATCCGCCTGTAGGGGGACATGCCCGACCTAAGCTCAAGGACCACATCCCGAAACAAAAACCCGAGCACCCAGACAAGTATCGAAGCAGTGTCGAACGAGAGTCGCCCCCCGTGGCCCGATGCGCGAAAACCCTCCAAAATTCGCTAACTTCCACGGTGCTCGAAATGCTTTCTGGTGGTCAAGGCTAAAGTCGGTCGGAACATCATAACCTGGACCCCGTCCTCCTGCGCTATGTTTCGAGCGTTAGGTCGGGCATGTCCTCCTGCAGGCGGACTGCGGAGCCATGCAAATAGCCAGAACAAAGCTCCAACAGGATCAGACGTAGCAGAAAAGACGTTCCCAGACCATGTCTGTACTGATCTCGAATGCCCCTCCTGTAAAGGGACCTGCCCTCGCAACATGTTACCAGCCTGGAACATATCCCTACGCCTATGCTGGGCATCTCCTCATCACGATGCCAATCAGATGGATACCCTTAGTTTTTCAGGGCGCATCCCTAAGATTGTCATCGACTTTTGGCGTGTCAATCCTAGGGATAGGGATAAGTTCGAAGCTGGCAATATTCTCGAGTGCCCCGTCTGTCAAAGGACCTGCCCTCGCAACATGGGGGGGAGCGAGTCCCGTGGGAAACGGGCCTTGGGCCCTGGGGCCCTCCCCCCGGACGCTCTGGCTCGTCCTGGGTCGTTCGCCGACGCTTCGGGAGCGGCCAAGAGGGGGGTGTCCAAGAGGGGGGAGTGCAAATCATGGCCGGCGGCATGTGCGCGGCCCATGGGGGGGGCCCGGGACGTAATGACATAAGAAGAGGCGCCGTGAAATCTGGGGAAATATCATGGCCCACGCCATGAGATCCCCCCCCCTAGTCATCACCCCCCTCTTTTCCGCCCCCTAACGCTCCCGGGGCCCGTGGCGGGCCCCGGGCGCCCGGAAAAGGGGCCGTCTGCGCTGGCGACGGGATGTCCGAACGGGGATGCCGTTAGAGTTATGTCGGGCGTGTCCCCCTACAGGGTGATTTTCGACGACAAAATAAAAAAATACCATCAACATACTTCAAAAAAAAAAAAAAAAAAAAAAAAATCCCCAGACTATTTTTGGATTCATTTTCGGGAGATTTTATATTTTTCGTCGAAAATCCCCCTGTAGGGGGACAGGCCCGACTTAACGTTAGAGCGAGTTGCGCCACGAAAGCTGCGAAACACCTCAGGACCTGTTTCCCTCAGGACCCCTGTCCCCCCCGGCAACTCCGACGTCCTGGGGATCGCCTCTCGACTCTCCGGCGGCTACTCGCCCTCGAGAGCCGCCCCAACGCCGATCCGAGGACTCCGCCCGGAGATCCGAGTTGTTACGGTTATGCTATTTGTTGCTCCCCCTATCTTACCCATCGGTCGGAAGAAGTAGGTAGGAACATAAAAAGAAGGCGTTGGATATATATATATATATATATATGTATTGTTTCAACGCCCGCCCTCTGAGGAGGCCGGAGAAGGTGAGGCCACTCGATCATCGAAGTAGGAAGGCGCTTACAGTGGATTGGCATCTGGGAGTCCAAAAAATACCAACTTTCGACAACCGATGGGTACGTCTTGAGTCTTGAGGCAGGGCTGGACCTAAACAGTGCTTCTCGCTTTCGTTATGTTTTCGCTTTTCCTAGTTTTGTCTTAAATTCGCCTCCGCTGCAAAACGACATCGAAACGAAAACGGCCCACGAAATCGCCAACAGTCGGACTCGATTGGAGAGGACACGCGAGAGAACACAATACCCTTCCGAGGGCCACATTGCCACAGGAATGTAGGAAGCATGGGCTGCGAGACACAGGACACAAGGGTACCCTGGAATGTGGCAGAGTCGACCTACTAATCTGGGCCGACTGTAGGTCCACCCCTGCCTTGAGGACCGATCTAGGGGAACAACAAATGACATAAACAGAAAAACTCGGAGGTCCGCGCGGATGTCTCGGATCGGCGCTGGGGCCCCCTCCCTGGCGCGCGGAGCGCGCCAGGGCCGGCGCCGGAGGCGCCGCCGGGGGGCCCCAGCGCCGATCCGAGAAATCCGCGCGGACCTCCGAGTTTGTATGTTTATGTCACTTTTCGTTCTCCTACGATCGGCTCGCCCGCCGCGAAAAAAAGAAACGCCCCCCGAGCGGGCGCGGTGCGGGGGCGGCGCGACGGCCGCGCTCCGAGCGGCAGGCACCCTCGAGCCTCTCCGGCGGCGGCAGGTCCAATCTGCGCGGCGGTGCGGGGAGGGGGGGGGGCCGGCCGCGGGTGTCAGGTCGGGCATGTCACCCAACGGGGGGATCTCGGACGAGAAACAAAAAGTAGCGACACAAATCCCTAACAGTTCCCCCAAATAGTCGGGAAATCGTCTGCAGACTATATTTTTTACGATTTGGGAAGATTCGTCCTGTAGAGGGACAAGCCCGACTTACGCTGGTGAGTGGTCGCTGGCAAGAGGACGACGAAATCTACACATCTTCACTGCTCCCTGGCCAGGTCCATCCTGAACCCAGCAGCAGTGTATACGCCACGGCCTCCTTGCCTGGCCAGGAGGGCGTATACACAGCCTCTGGGTTCAGGATGGGCCAGGCCAGGGAGCAGTGGATATGTATAGATTTCGTCGCCCGATGCAGGAGGACCTGACACCGCGGGGATCGTTCAACCTTGAACGATCGGCCGTGTCCGACACGTCGGATCGTTCAACGGTGGGCCCATTCTGACTCGCCGGCGGCGTTCCACGCTGCACGCCGGCGGCAGGGTCGCTGCCTGTCGACGCGAAGAGGAGGAGGCCTTCTCAGAAAACAGCAGGACTTCTGAGGAGCCTCCGGTTTTCTGAGAAGTTTTCTGCGTCGGGGGGAATTGGAAGACTTCTCAGAAGGCCAGGGGACTTCCGAGTCTTCTGAAGAGGCCCGCCCCTTCCCAGTCCCCCCCCAAGGCTCGCCGCCGAGAGGAGTGATGAGGGCATCGTGGGCGGATCAGAAAATCATCCATGAACGAATCGGCAACGCACGTCGAGCTCGGGCCGACTCTGACGGCTGCTTGAGGCCAGGGCTCCCCTCGAAATGAGAGACGATCCTTGAGGCCGGAGGGAGAGGAGGGGAGGGCGGAAGGAGGAAGAGGAGCACGGAAAGGCGAAGCACTGCAATTTATCTGGCCTAATTCTGCCATCGACGACCAGTCGAAGGTTGATGTTTCCAGTCGAAGGTTTATGAAATCGTGGGCGGGAAACAAACTCCGTATCCACAACCTCGCGGGCCGGGCCCCTGTGCCGCAACCCCATGCTTACGGGGCATTTTGTTCGCAGATGCCCCGCGCGGAACGCATCCATGCGACTGCAGATCCACGGGGTCGCGCCTAGGAGCCCATGTCGCGAGGGCGCGGATACGCTCGCCGCTGGTGAGCTCATTTTCGAGGCGCCGCAGGATCGCGCCCCATAACCCATGTCGCGAGGGCGTGGGTGTGGCTACGCCCGCAGCTGTTGGGTTCATCTTGTAGGCGTCACGGGATCGCGCCCCGGAATCCATGTCGCAAGAGCGTGTGTACGGGGTGATGCCGAGGAGAGGCTGCGGCTGCTACGAGGAACACCTCCTTGCTAAAACTCAGGAGACATCACTAGCTGCCCTGCCTACTGTCTGCAGGGGAATGTTGAGATGCACTGCTTGGTTGCGCCTGTGTCCCTGAGTGGTTTCTGGCCTCGTTTCCTCCTCTGTCGGCGCCTCCGCTCGTGGTCTTTCCCTGGCCCTCGCTTCGCGTCGTCTTTCGGTCCCTCCACGGTCCCTTCGTCGCTCTTGCGGCTCTCTTGCCCAGAAGCTACTGCTGGACCTTAGCACGCGTCCGAATCCTTAGGGCTCGGACATGGATGCGCTCGCCGCTGGTGAACTTTTCTTGCAGGCGTGGAGGGGAGGGGGGGGCCCGCGACCCCCGGCGGCCCCCCGGGCTGGCCCAGAGGAGCAGCGCGGGCGGAAGGCATCGAGCCCTCGAACCCGAGCCCAGGCCGAGCCCGAGCACGGGCCCGAGCCGGACTTGGTGTCTCCGCCAGGGATGCGTCGTCTGCGCGGGCCCCGAAAGAGGGGGGGGTGGGGTGAAGGGGATTCAAGGGGTAGGGGGGGAGAGGGCGGGGGTAAAAAGGGCGCGGGAAGTTGGGGGAGGGGGGAGGGGGGTATAACAAGGAGGGGAGGGGGGCGTGTGGGTCATATTGCGACCAGACCGGCCACTTTACAACCAGATGGGCCAGTTTACAACCATCATGTTTTTCCCCAAAAAACAATTTACAACTAGGAAGGCCACTTTACATCCATGCGAATAAACGCACATGAGCGACACATGTTTTTCAATTTCCGACATATCCGTGGGTCCACGTAAGGGAGACATTTCCCTCTCTGAAGCGTGTTGGTTGTAAAATGACCCGTCTAAAGCGAGAATATGTGGTGGCGGATTCCTACTGGGATCCAATAAAAGTCATCTTGGAATCATTTCGGCACCCTTCCCAGTGGGATCCTAACGCCACCAGATGAATCCCAATCATTCATGGGTATCCACCAAAATTCATCGATAGGGAGCCAACGGGTGCCCTATCAGAATCCGAAGGGGGCGCTTCTGATTGAAACCCGTTGGGGCTCTCTCTAAGTGAAGCCAATTGGAAACCCCAAGGGGCTACAATCGAGAAGCCTTCCTATTGGAATGCTGCGGGAAACGCTCTGGGGGTGCTACTTGGAAGCTTGGTAGGCATGTTTGTGGATTCTCACTAGAAATCAACAAGCATACCTTTTTCTTGGAATCCCATCTTTACCATATTGGCGAATACGGACGATATCGCGCTGGAACACAATTGGAATCCTTCTTTTCGACCCATGCGGGCATTCAACTGGGATCCCACCCAGAACAAACTGTAACTCAACAGAAGCGTGTCCTCTTTGACTCATTTTGTGCCCAGATGGGCCTCCCATTGTTATCCTTGTGGTATCCGAAAGAAACTAGTGGAACCCAATTGAGATCCAACAAAGATCCTCACGCTACTGGCTGGTGACAAGCCTGGGCGGTTTACGTTGTTCTTTACATCCATGCCCTAAACCTACATCGTTGTTCGGAGCCCCGTAACCTCTGCCTGAAAATCCGGCCTTTTCTGGAAATAGACAAGAGTAAACGTTCGCCACAAAAAGACGCAGAGGAACACGCGCGCTCCCAGGGGAGCGGGAATGCGGCCAAATGGTCGTTGGTAGAATTCTCCTCGTCGTCTGAGAGTCGCACAAGAAAACATCTTGTGTTCAGAATTGCGAAAGCATGCGCACCCAGGAGGGCGGACATGTTGGCAAGAAATCGACGGTGAAGTTCTAGCCGATACATGTGGATCTCAATTTGTGTGTTTGGCCTCACGGACAGCTTTGCTCCTCGCGCCTCGTCGCTTGGCACTCGCAAAACCGTATGTGTTCGCAATCGCAGTCGCATGCGTACTCAGGAGGGCGGAAATTTGGAATACATGTGGATCTCGAGTTGCGGTTGCTTGTATCGTACACCAGGTCTGTCCACGCGCCTCATCACATGACAATCACGAAGACCGTCTGCTTTCGCAATTGCGAGCATGCGCGCCCAGGAAAGCGGAAAGTTGGCCAAGAAATCGATTGTAACAATCGAACCACTACGTGTGGATGCCGAATTGTGGTTTCCAGGCTCACAAACAACTTACGTCCTCCTGCTTCATCGTTGGGCAATCTCAGAACCACATGTTTCATTCGCGGAAGCATGCGTACCCAGGAGGGCAGCAATGCGGCAAAGAAGTCGTTTGTAAAACTCTAGCCAATGCGTGTGGAATTCAGAATTTGTGTTTTGCCTCATAAGCATCTCATCGCGCCCCATCGCCTGGTTATCGCCAAACCATGTGTTTGCGCAATTGCGGAAGCTTGCGCACCCAGGAGGGCGGAAAGTTTCAAAATCGTTGGTCGAATTCTGGCCAACGCTTGCAACACTTGGTCGGATTGTATTTCTGACAAAGCTATCAGTATGTGCATTCGCTTCGCAAAAGCTCCAGAACGCTCAGGCGCTCGGAAGCCTCTGCATAGCGCTCGGGCGTTCGGAAGCCTCTGCGAAGCGCCCAAACGGTCAGAAGCCTCTGCAGAGCGCTCAGGCGCTCAGAAGCCTCTGCAGAACGCTTGGGCGCTCAGAAGCCTGTACAAATCGCTTGGGCGCTCAGAAGCCTCTGCAGAGCGCCCAGGCGTTCATAAACCTCTGCAGAAAAGCTCAGGTGCTGAGAAGTCTCTGCAGAGCTCTCAGGCGCTCAGAAGACTCTGCAGAGCGCTCAGGCACCCACAAGTCTTTGTAAAGCGCCCAGGCGCCCAGATGCCTCTGCAGAGCTTTCAGGAGCTCCGAAGCTTCAGGAGCCCCTGCAGAACGCGCGCGCACGCTTGTGAAGGCTGGTTAGAAAGTGGCCGCTCTGGTTGCAAAGAGCCCCGTCTGGGTTGTAATGTGGTCGTTCTGGTTGTAGAGTGGGTGGGCTGGTATGGTTGTAAAGTGGTCGCTCTCGAAGGAAGACCAGGGAATTCGATCCTTTGCTGGTTGTAAAGTGACCTATCTTGGTTGTAAAGTGTCGTTCGGGTTGTAAAGAGACCGAATCTCGGGAGTCGGGAGGGGGGGGGGGGGAGAGGAGGGGGGAGAGGGGGGGGGGGGGCATGGAAGGAGGGGAGAAAACAGTCGGTCTCTCCGTAAGTCGCGTCCCTCGGACGCCATCCACCGGCGTGGTTTCTTTTCGCTGCCAATATGTCGTTTTCATGAGTGACTATATGCGTGCATGCATATATATATATATATATATATTCACATATGCATTTATGTATGTACACATGCGTATTATGTTGGTTCGGATTATCTTTTGTTGATGTTATATATATATATACACATTATATCTCTCTCTCACCCTCTGTCTCTTTTTCTCTCCCCGCGCGGCGTCGCCGCGCCCATGCTGCGCAGTCAGGCTCACGCGCGCGAGCTCCATGACACCGCGCAAGCCCCGACGCAGGCCGTACTTGAGCACCTCGTCGGAGCTGCGTAAAATATTGTCCGCCAAGCGCCCGTGCGCATCTTGAGCCACATGGCGCACGTGCGGCCTCAATCGTTCGGCCATGTTGAAGGGGCCCTGGGACACACAAATAAATACACACAAATAAAAATATCCCCCATATTTTCCTGCATTTTCTGGGTTTCTGTCTTCCCCCCCCCCACTTCCCATATTTTCCCATATTTTCCTGGGAATCGACGATTAATGGTGTCTGTGTGTTTTTTCCCTCCTGACATGTGGCCAGAAGGATTGATGAGTCGGCGTGTCGTCGAAACCTGTTTCAATGCAGATGCAATTGCGCTTGGACTGCGCGCTGGCCGGATGGCACGCCGCATGCTGCGCCCGCGCGGCGCAGTCGAACATGGATCTCTAGTGTTCACGACCCCGGAAGTGGTGACGTCGCCATCGCCAAAAAAACAGACCTTCAACGCAGTGTGCATGTCGAACTGCCTCTTGGCCTTGACGTGAGGCCCCTCCTTCTGCCTTCCCCCCTGTTTAAATTAAAGCTGTGCGCGGCCCGCTTAGCTTCGACCGGAAGAGGTGCGCTCTCGACCCGCGGATCAAAAAATATGTCGAACTGGCGTCGGTGCCGGACGGATTCATCAGGCGCCATGGGATGCACCACTTTGCTGCCACAGTTCAGCTGCGAGAGATCCCAGGAGTGGCCCACCGTCAAGAGATCCTGCTCGAGCTTCTGCTGCCTTTGGCAAGGCTTTTGCCTTCTTTGTCAGGCGGGTCCGTTTCAAAATCTCGCTCCTGGTGCTCATTGCTTCCAACTTCTGTGCAAGTGACCGACGAGCACGGGCGGAAGAATCGACTCGTCCAGGCGCAGCCGCACAGGCGGCACGACCCGGGGTCCGAGCGCACCAGCTTTCCGAGGTGCGTCCAGAGGTGGAGACGAGGGCCCCCCCGAAGGCCAACTACCGTGGTCTCAACTCGCCCTCCTCTGATCGGGGAGCAAACAATGACATGAGTTGAGCAGGGACCGACCGTCCCGGCATTCCTATAGTCATACCACGACATGTTCTTAGAACCCAAAAATGTTCTAAGAACAAAAACAATGCTCTTAGAACATAAGCCCGATGTGTTAAAACAAGACAGTCCTAGCCAGACCTGCTCTAAGAACATTTCGTGGGAACCACGACAAGTTCTTAGAACATTGTTTGGTAGGGCTATAGGCGAGCCAGGACGCTTCGCCACTGCTTGAATGAACATGAACTTGTAGAGGTCCGCGTGGATTTCTCGGATCGGCGCTGGAGCAACCTGGCGGCGCCTCTGGCGCCAACCCTGGCGCGCTCCGCGCGCCGAGAAAAGGGGGGGGGTCCAGCGCCGCTCGAAGAAACCAGCGCGGACCCCGGACAGTTCCTGCTTTTGTCCGCACGTTGGCTCCTCGACCTGACCCTCGGACCGCTATCGGGGACGCGCAAACATTGATTAGCGATCCCGCGCGGTCGCCGAATCCATGGATCGGGGGAGGGGCCCTCCTCAAAATGCGGCCGGTGCCGCCTCGCTCGGCGGCGGAAACCTGCGACGTCCCATGGAAACGGGACCCGTCGCCAATCCACGCCCCCTTGAACCATGATTGCGGTCGCCTGATGCTCAGCGCAACAGAACTGCGGCTCACCCGGACGGCCGCGCCGTGCCCCTGGCCGAAGGAAGGGGGCCACATGCGAACCCGACCCCTGGCCCCACGATCTCTGAGGGGTGGGGTGGAGTTCACTTCGCTCGACAGCTCCCGAACGAGCCCCGCGATGCGAGGAGGAGGAGGAGGAGGAGGAGGAGGAGGAGGAGGAGGAGGAGGAGGAGGAGGAGGAGGAGGAGGAGGAGGAGGAGGAGGAGGAGGAGGAGGGGGAGGAGAGGAGGAGGAGGAGGAGGAGGAGGAGGAGGAGGAGGAGAGGAGGAGGAGGAGGAGGAGGAGGAGGAGGAGGAGGAGGGGGGGGGGGAGGGGGAGGAGGAGGGGAGGAGGAGGGGAGGGGGGGAGGGCAGGGGCGCATGTGGCCCCCTGTCTGAGGAGGGGGCCCCGCCGTCCTCCGGCAGCGGCCGACGTCGGCGCTGAACGGGTTCGGGCCTGCGGGCGCGGGCTCGGCGTCGAGCACGGGGCGCGGGCGGTCGCCGTCGGACGTCGCGCGAGTCCTCCTCCTCCTCCCTCCTCCCTCCTCCTGCTCCTCCTCCTCCACCCACCCACCACCCCCCACCCACCCACCCAACCCACCCACCCACCCACCCACCCACCCACCCACCACCCACCCCCCCCTCCCCCTCTCTCTTCACTCCTCCTCCTCCTCCTTCCTTCCTCCGTCTCCTCGTCGTCCTTCTCCTCCTCCTTCCGTCCCCCTCCTCCTCCCGTCCTCCTCCTCTCCTCGTCCTCCTCCTCCTGTTCCTGTTCCTCCTCCTCCTCCTCCTCCCTCCTCCTCCTTCCTCCTCCTCTCCTCCTCCTCCTCCTCCTCCTCCTCCTTTCCCTTCTCCTCATCCTTCTCCTCCTCCTCCTCCTCCTCGTCCTCCCCCTCCTTCTCCTCCTCCTCCTCCTCCTCCGCCTTTTCCCCCATTCCTTGTCCTCATACATTTCTGTCGCACCCAGAGGATGCCTGAGACTTTTTCACCACTTATGGCCGTTTTTTTTGCAACTGCCTCGCAGATCGAAGGCGGGTGGTTTTCAAAATGTGATTATCGCCTTAACGCCGCGCGCATTCGTTTTTTTCTAACTTTGCAACACGTTCACGGTGTTAGGGCGGGTGGTTTTCAAAATATGAATCTCGTTTTGGCGCCACGCGCATTCGTTCTGAACATGTGCCTGAATTTCTCGGATTAAGAGCGGGTGGTTTTCAAAAGTTGCGTGTCGCCTTAAAGTTGTGCACATTCGTTTAACACATCACCCTATGACGCCCCCGACCCATTTGCATCAACTGACAAGAAACAATGGCCCAAACTTGACAAGGCAACGCCAGTGCTGGCGCCGTTCTGTGTCGCGCAAGCTTCATGGGGCGCGCTCGCGTGGCACGACTCACATGACAACAGCAGAAGGACGAGGAGCAAGGTCCAAGGCTTGAGGGGGACATGGCGGCGGGAACGAAGGGCAAAAAAAAAACGCGCGGGGGGCAGAACCGTCATCGCGGCAGCAGCAGAGGGACGGTGGCAGGGGGCGGAGGAAGACGACGAAAGTGACGGGACGAGACCGAAGAAAATTGTTGTTGTTGTTGTCGGTAATGCGCTAAGATGCAACGCTGCCTGCGCCATGTCGCTGCGTCCATCGACAACGCATGATCGAACCTGCATCTAGTGAGTGCAAGAGGCGATCGAGACATGGCTCGCCCGCCAGCTTCTCTGCCTCCTTTTCTGCACTTTTCAATTCGGGAGCTAAACGCTCGAAAGCGCGCCGCCAGGTTCTGCGGGCGGCCCGCAGGCCAAGAAATCCAGGCGGGGGTCGTGTATCATCAGGAGATTGTCCACGGTCGTTGCCTTAAACAGCATCAGGTAGAGACGCAGCCAAAGGTCATCTATTTTCTTGTCATACTTGCGCCCAGCGTCGACAATGACACCGCGATGCATGGAGCGGCCCTGGCAGGCCGTGGACGTCAGGACTTCGGCAGGGGAGATGGCCAACCCGGCGCGCGTGACCTTATGCTTCCGGAGGTCGACCGGGCTCGAACGAAGCGGCTCGATGAACACGACCCCAGGCTTCGACACAACCCTCAAATAACATAAGAAGGCGTCACTCCGCTGGACCACAAGAATGGCGAAATCTCCGGGTGGTCCGCGTACGACGTCACTCCGCTGGACCCCAAACAATCCTCGAAACTGGCGACAGTTTCGCAGATCGCATCCCCCCAGGGATGTCGAGGTTTCCTGGTGGTCCGCGTAATACGTCACTCCGCTGATCCAGCGGCAGCCACCGAAAGTGGCGACAGGTTCGCAGATCGCAGCCCCACAAGGATGGCGAGGTATCATATGAATCTTGGTAAAACGTCACTCCGCTGGGCCCCCCAGCAACCCTCGAAAGTGGCGACAGTTCCGCAGATCGCAGCCCCACAGAGATGGCGAGGTCTCATCTGCATCTGAGAAGTCCTCGAAACTGGCGACAGGCTCGCAGATCGCAGACCCCCAAGGATGGCGAGGTCTCCTGGTGGTCCGCGTAAGACGTCACTCCGCTGGATCACCCAGGTGTCCCCGAAACTGGCGAAAGTCTCGCAGACAGATCGCAGCCCCCCCCCCAGGGATGGCAAGGTTTCCGAATGGTCCGCGTAAGGCGTCACTCCGCTGGACCCCCCAGCAGCCCTTGCAAATTACAACGCTTCGCATATCCCAGCCCCACAAGGATGGCGAGGCTTCCTGGTGGTCCGCGTAAAACGTCACTCCGCTGGACCCCCCAGCAGCTTTCGAAAGTGGTGACAGGCTCGTGGATCGCAACCACCCAAGGATGGCGAGGTCGCCTGGTGGTCCGCGTAAGACGTCACACCGCTGGATCCCCCAGCAACCCCTTGAAAATGACGACCGTTTCGCATATCGCCAGCCCCTCCCCCCCGGGATGGCGAGGATTCCTGGTAGTCCGCGTAATACGTCACTCCGCTGGGTCACCCAGCAACCCTCGAACGTGGCGACAGTTTCGCAGATCGCACCCCCCCAAGGATGGCGAGGTCTCCTGGTGGCCCGCGTAAGATGCTACTTCGCTGGACCCATAACAGCACCTAAACTGCCAACAGTTTCGCACATCGAAGTCCCCCAAGGATGGCGAGGTTGCCTGGTGGCCCGCGAAAGACGTCACTCCGCTGGACCTCATAGCAACCCCCGAACGAGGCGACCACTTCGCAGATCGCATATGGATCGTGGTGAGACGTCACTCCGCTGGGCACCCCAGGAGCCCTCGAACGTGGCGACAAGCTCGCAGATCGCAACCTCCCAATGATGGCGAAATCTCCTGGTGGTCCGCGGAAAACGTCACACCGCGGTACCCCCAAGGATGGCGAGGTCTCCTGGTGTTCCGAGTATGACGTCACTCCGCTGGACCCCCTCCAATGGCTCTCGAACGTGGCGACAATTTCGCAGATCGCACCCCCCCAAGGGTGGCATGCAGGAAGGCGCGAGGCAAGATGCAAGTACGAATTGAAGGGAGGAGGGAGGCGGGAGGAGGGAGGCGGGAAAGAAGAGATGCGCGCGTAGTGTTCTACCCGAAATCAGAACACAACGCAAGAGGGTTGCGATTTTGCAAAAACAGCTGCACGGATTGAAGGCGGGCCGTTTTCGAAATGCTGCTCGCGCCTTAGCGCCGCGCACATTCGGTTTCATTATTTACAATAGCTTCACGGATTGATGGCGGCTCCTTTCTCTACATGTGAATATCGCATTCGTATTCGCGCCGCGCATTTTCGTTTGAAACTTCGCCAGGGTTCCACGGATTCCAATGACCCGCGTACCAGGAACTGTGTTTTGGAGGGATTCAGTATCATGAGGGCGCAACAGTTCAAACAAAACCATGTTTTGGCATGCTCCAAGGTATTCAAACGGTTGTCTTCCATGCGAGGCAGTTCCCTCAGTGGATACGAACCGTTGTATGGGGACCTGCGACGAGGGAGCGTTGAGGGAGGGTGTATTCTGACATCGTTGATGGCCCTTGGGCTTGCACTGGTCCTCCTCCTCCTCCTGCTCCTCGTCCTCCTCCTCCATTCCGGCTCCTGATAAACAACTTCTCCCTGTCGTACCCCGAGGCCCGTTTCTAGGGCGGACAGGGCGTTCCGCCCGAGACTTCCTCACCATTTCTGGCCCTGCAGCTTGAAACATGACTGCAGTTTCACACATGGGGGGCGGATGGTCTTCAGAATGTGGATCTCGCCTTCGCGCTGCGCGCATTCGTATTCGAACAGATTGCAAGACGTTCGATGATTGAGGACGGGTGGTTTTTTAAAGTGTGGTTCTCGCCTCAGCGCCGCGCACATTCGTTTAGACAGATGGAACAGTTTCACGGATTGAGAGGGGGTCGTTGTCAAAATGTGGCTCTCGGCTTTGCGCCGCGCACATCCGTACCAACTGCAAAGCTTCCGGGATTCGGGGCGGCTCCTTGTCAAGCTATGGCTCTTGCCTTGGCGACGCGGACGCTCGCTGTTCAATTGCGCGAAGAGACCCACGGACTCCCATGATCAGCGTTTCAAGATTATGAGGGCGCAACAGTTACGTTGATTCGCGGTGTTCAAGTCCCAAGAATGGCGTTCTGGCACGATTCAGGATCGCCAATACGAGACAGTCAGGTTGACCCGTGGCGTTGGAATTCCGAGAACATTGTTTTGGCATGCTTCAGGGTCTTCAAACGGTTGTTCTCCATCGAGGCAGTTCACTCAATGGAAATGAATCGCTAAAGAGCCCATGATGAAGAGGTTTGAAGGGAAGGTGTATTCCAACATCGTTAATGGCTCTTGGGTTTGCACTGGTTCTCCTCCTCCTCCTTCTTTCTCCTCCTCCTCCTCCTCCTCCTCCCTCTTTTCCTCCTCCTCCTGCTCCGCCCTCCTCCTCCTCCTCCTCGTCCTGGTCCTCGTTCTCGTCGTCCTCCATCTCCTTTTTTTTGCGCTGGGCGAACTCAAGGTGCTGGCCTGTAGCGTTCGTCGTCCTCGTCCTCCTCCTCCTCCTCCTCCTCCTCGTCCTCCTCCTCCTCCTCCGCCTCCTCCTCCAGCTCCTCCTCCGCCTCCTCCTCCTCCTCCTCCTCCTCCTCCTCCTCCTCCCAAGCAGCGCGCGTCGTGACCTCGCGGCGCGCCACCACCTCCGCGCCCTCGCGGGGCCGCCCCTGGAGAGAAAAGGGGGCGGGGCGGGCAGGCACGCACCGGGGGGGGGCGGCCGGGAGCTCGCGCCGAAGCAGCTGGCCCTGCGCAAGGACGCCCTTGACTTCTGAAGGGGCCCAAGGACACACAAGTAAATACACAGATAAAACTACGCACCATATTTTCTTATGCTTTCTGGGTTTTGGTCTTCCCCCCACTTCCAATATTTCCCCACATTTCCCTGGGACTCGACGGTGAATGGTGTCTGTGTGTGTTTTTTCCCCTCCTGATTAGGATGGAGAGTGAAATCCATATGGGCTGTTGCGCCAGGAAAATCAATCCGTCGTGTGGTTCACCTTTTGCAGATCCGAGCCTCGGAAATCAGTCGAAACGGCATTTCAGATTTCACCCTTTGCCCTCCACCCAAAGAAAATGCCCAGACTTCGGATGCTCCCATCGTACTTAAGGCCTTCTCAGAAGGCGGCGGGAGGTCTCACCTCTAGCCGGCGGTGAGCGAGGGGGGGAAATGAGAAGCAGAAAACCTTCTCAGAAGGCGGGGGGGCTTCTCAGAAGGCCTCCGGCCTTCTGGCAGGTGCTCTGCGGCCTCGGGAAAGGCCTAGGGCTATGTTGCTCCCATCGCACTTCGGGGCCACATCCCATAAATAAGTCCGAGCACCCAGAAAAGGTGCCGAGACAGTGTCGAACGAACGTCGCCTTCCAGGGACCGACGCATGAAAAAACCTGACAACTTCGGTGCTCTCTGGGTGCTCGCGGTTCTTTCTGGTGATCTAGGCGAAAGTAGGTTGGCACATCCGGAATCCTGGACAGGGAACTCACAGAAAACGTACGCACCCGAGGAGGAGGAGGAGGAGGAGGAGGAGGAGGAGGGGGAGGGGGAGGAGGAGGGGGAGTGGGAGGAGGAGGAGGAGGAGGAGGATGAGGAGGAGGACTCGCCCCCCCGGTCCGCGAGACCGGCCTCTCGTAGTAGAACCGTTCGCGCGATGCGTACGTACTCTCGAGACGAGCGCGGACTCGTCCGCGTGTGCGCCCCTCCCTTTGGCTGCCGACTGGAGGAGGGCAGCCTCCCGGCCCGGGCAGCGACGGCCGCGGGGCGATGGCCCTCGCGCCCCCCGGGAGGAGGGCGCGTCGCCCGGCAATCGTGGCTGCTCCGTGGTTGTCCCGTGGGTTGTTCCCTGGCTGTCCCGTGACTGTCCTGTGGTTGTCCTGCGGACGCCTCGTGGTTGCCCCGTGCTTGTCCCGTGGTTGTCGCGTGATTGTCCAATGGCTGCCCTGTGGTTGTCCCTTGGTTGTCCCGTGGCTGTCACGCGGTTGCCCCGTCGTCGTCCCATGGTTGTCGCGCGGTTGCCCGCGGCTGTCCTGCAGTTGTCCCGTGGTTGTCCATTCTTAGATTGATGGATCGGAAGACCGACATGGCGATAGTGAGGTCGATAGGTAAAAACATAGTGAGCTCTAGGTCCAGGGATACAACAATCGAACGTCGTGGTTCTCCAAAGATCAGAAACGGAAAGAGGAGGGAGAGAGGGATGAGCCGCAACAACATGACATTAGGCACAAGGGAACAGGGGGGCACGACTCACGCAATTTCGGAAATTATTGCACATGCGCGTTAAATGTACTGGTACTTGCATTTGCGCATCAACCTGCACTTAATTCATAGACCATCCATCGGGTGGTTAGTTCATATTGGAGAGGAAATGGCATGTCGATGTGCGTCTCGATTGAGATTGGATTGCATCCCGTGCCGCATTGCGATCGGGCTTGCTGTTGGATCTGGAGTTCTTTGCGCATGTCGACCGCATTTTGATTTGCAATTCGAGTTAAAGCTCGTTTTGATATGTGTTGGCAGTTCGTTTAGCAATTCGATGTGCACGTCGATGTGCCTTTCCATGTGCTGCTCGATTTGCACTTCGGTTTGCAAATCGATTGGCTTTTCGGGATGTACGTTGATCCGTTTCAATGTACATCATGCTCAAGTGGGTCTACAGGTGAGCAACCCGCGGGCCAACCCGCAGGAAAACAGATGAGACAACCCACGGGACAACCCCCGGGACAACCCACGGGACAACCCGCGGGACGACCCGCCTGCGGGACAACCCGCGGGACCACTGACAAAAAAACCCACGGGACAACCACAGGAAAACCAAAGGGACAACGCGCGGGACAACACCCAACAACGCACCCCACGGGACCGGCCCTGGGACGACCACGGTGAGGAACCGCGGCGCAGGGAAAAGAGAAGCTTGATGCACGACTTGGCCAGAGCTGCGCCTGCACATCGTCCGCCGCAGCTTCGCCTCGCCCGCGAGCGAGACACGGACCGAAATCGATGTTCCGGCTGGGGTCCCTTCGCTCGCACCCCCCAAACCTACGATGCACTAGGAAGTGCACGAGAACGCGCGTCTGCGCTTATAGATGTGCAGGCAGGCTTACTCGATTGCACCTCTGAGCGAGTCGTTGCTCATCTGCTGCACCCGAGCATAAGCGTCGGCTTGTACGTTGACTGTACTTTGGAAGTGTAAGCGCACCCTTCCTTGTCATCGCAGTCGCCCGCGCACCAACGACCAATTCACCTGCGCCTTTAACTATACGTGTACGTTCGCGTGGGCTTGGTTACTTGTACGCCTGCGCGTCCAGTCCCCCCGCCTTGGAAAAACATGTTCAGCATAAACATAAGATTTTGGAGGTCCGGGCGGACTTCTCGGATCCGCGCTGGGCCCCCATCCCTGCCGCGCGGAGCGCGCCAGAGGCGGCGCCGGAGGCGCCGCCATGGGGGCCCAGCGCAGATCCAATAAATCCGCGCGGAGCGCCAAGAGTTCATGTTTATGCCGTTCTTTCTTCTTCGGACTCCCCCTGCCTATCCTACGTAACCCGTGACCTAAGTGCCCATCGGTCGGAAGAAGTAGGTAGACACATGAAGCAGGAAAGCGTTGAAAGTAGACTGGGTTCCGTCCGCCCCCCAAGGAGAACGGCAAAGGTGAAGCCACTCGATCATCTAAATAGGAAGGCGCGTATAATAGATCGGAATCTGAGAATCCAAAATCAGGGCCGGCCAAGAGGGGGGCGTCAAAGAGGGGGGGCGCAAATCATGGCCCGCGGCATGTGCGCGGCCCACGGGGGGGGCAGGGACGCATTGAAATAAGAAGAGGCGCCATGAAACCCAGGGAGATCTCATGACCCTCGCCATGAGATCCACCCCCGCCTATTCATCACCCCCCCATTTGCCGCCCCCGACAAACATACAGACTTGCAACGACCGATGGGTAACCCATCCAATCCAGCCGCGAGAGCCATGGGGGTTCCCGAAGAGCCCCCGAGACGCTGGGCCTCCTCCTCCTCCTCCTCCTCCTCCGTAGCCATTTTGGCTCAAGCCCCGCTTGGGCCCTTCGGGGCCCAAACGGGGGTTGAGCCCCGTAGCCTGTCTGGCTCGGTGGCGCCGCCCCGCGCGTGGGTCTCCTTCTGGGCGCGCGGCAGCCGGTTGGGTGGGGCACGTCGTTAGCGGTGGCGCGCGACGCAAAATCCGCAGTTTGTCGGTACCCAGGGGGGCCGTCCTCTCCCCCCCTCGCCTCCATGGGCCTCCCTGGTGGAGGCGGCGCGGCGCTGCTGCCCAGCGGGGACCGCCAGCTGGTGAAGCCAGTGATCAAGGAGGCGTTCGACGTCAGCGGCAAAGATGTGCTGCCGCATGGAGGCTGCTGGTGCGCGACATGTGGATGTGCGACCTTGAGCCCGTGGCGCGGGCAGCAGCAGCAGCAGCAGCAGCAGCAGCAGCAGCAACAGATGTGCGTCATCGGCGTGGTGTTGCACCAATGAGTGACTGGTGCTGTTACGGTTTCCGAGGGCGCCACCTCGGGGAGCCTTGGCGGCGCGATGGGGGCCCAGAAAGGCCAGGAGCTGCTCCGCCTGCTACGGGGCGAAGGGCAGCCGTGCCAGGACATCGCGCACGACGTGAACGGCAGAGAAGCCGAACAATCGGTGGCGCCCGTGAACAACACTGGTGGCGCGAGGCGCCAGGGGGCGGCAGCGGGCGCGGGTTCGTCCCCCTGCTGTGTGGGCGCGGGTTCGTCCCCCCCCACACCGCCGCCCACCCCGTCCTCGGGGCAAGGACGTGCTGAAGACGAAGGGCAACGCGGCGGTCCAGAGCCAGATACAGATGCAGCTGGTGGAGGCCAGTGTGTCCCATCGACATGGAGCGCATTGGAGGCGAGGTCGACGACGACTGGCGGCTCATGCAAGGCAAAGGCAAGCGGGCGGGCCGCTGGGAGGCGGCGCAGCTGCTCGCGGATTGCACGGCAGAGGCGTGGGCTTCGGTGGCCGTGCGAAAGGCGGACGCCGCGCGTGCCGCTGCTGCTGGTGTGGTGCAGCGGCGCTGGCGCGGCTGGCTGGGGCGGAAGGCGGCTGCTGCGGCGCGCGGTGCCCGTGCGGCGAGTGCGGCGGCGGCGCCCTCGCCGCCGCTGGCGGCAGCCCCTGCCGTCAAGACGAAGAAGGGCAAGAAGGCCAAGCAGGGCGCGGAGTCGGACGACGCGATCCTCACCGAGGCGATTTGCGACGCTAAGCGTGAGGCCGCCGAGCTGGCCAGCGCGGCCCTGGTGGAGTCCTTGGAGGCGGAGCTCGTGCCCGTCTTGGACGCGATCGTGGCGAAGCTCGGGAGTCGCGCGGTGTTCGCCGCTCTCGGCAGGCTCCGCGACGGTGCCCAGCAGGCGCTGGGCCAAGGCAGCTTCACGACCCTGGACGAGCAAGAGTGGGGCGCGAGGTTCCTGGACGGCGAGTTCGCCGAGGACAAGGACAAGGCCGTCTGGGTGCAGGTGGTCGCGGACTAGGAGGACGCCCTCGGGTCCGACAGCGACGGCTCTGACTGAAGGTCGGCGTGGTGAAGGTCGTCGTGTTCGGCCTCGCGGTCGGGGGCCCTGTCCTCTTAGGTTGGGGATGCGGCGATAAGGGTGAGGTAAAGAGGGGAAGGAAAGATGCACAAAAGAAGAACGAAACGGCACAAACACATAAACTTGTGGCGCTCCGCGCGACTTCTTGGATCTGCGCTGGGCCCCCCTCCCTGACGCGCGGAGCGCGCCAGGGGCGGCGCCGGAGGCGCCGCCGGGGGGCCCAGCGCGGATCCAAGAAATCCGCGCAGAGCGCCAAAAATTTATGTGCATGCTTTTTGTTTGTTCTTCGAAGGGAGGGAGCCTCCCCACCCCTTCGCAGGCGCTCAAAGGCATAACATGAACTTTTTTCCGCAGTCGGGGACGCCTGCCCGCCAGCCGGATGGAATGCTCATTTATACCCACACGGTGCCACGTAGGGGTGTGTAAACTTTTCAGCCGCCTGGAGGGCAGGCGTCCTCGACGGCGGGACATTCATGTAATACCGTTCTTCGCCCGCTAAGCCCTTCCTTTAGAGGCCACCTAGATGGGGTCGGAGTACATGGGGTCGGAGGATCGCGCCATCGGCGATACATCGGCGATACATTTGGCGATGCATCGGCGACGCCAGCGTGGAGGAAATCGGGATCCGCATTGAGCCGCATCGCCGATGCATCGACGATGCGGCACGATCCTCCGACCCCGTCTACTCGTAAGTCGGGCGTGTCCCCCTACAGGGGGATTTTTGACGAAAGATAAAAATACTCAAACAATCCTGCAACATGGCCAACGCATGCTCAACAAAAAACAATCCCCAGACTATTTCTTTGACTAACTTTGAATACTCCCCCTGTAGAGGGACAGGCCCGACTCAAGTCTACCCGGACCCCCTCCAGGCGGCCCAGATCCCTGGCCCTGCGTTGCAGATGTTGCCCCACACCAACCGCGGCCGCTGTTGGGCAGGCGGCCTCTCTGTTTCGAATTGACACAGGCCGCGGCGGCGCGTACAGCGAGCCCTGTTCGAAATGAACAGGAACTGCTGTTGGGCATTATTGAAGGGGAACTGGGACACACAAATAAATACACACAAATAAAAATATCCCCCATATTTTCCCACATGTTCTGGGTTTTTGTCTCCCCCCCCACTTCCCATATTTTCCCATATTTTCTGGGAATCGAGGATTAATTGTGTCTGTGTGTTTCTTTCCCTCCTGAATTATACCCCTTCTTTCCGTACCCATCTCGGGCGTCCAGATCGGCAGCCGCGGGGGCGCTCGCCGGCCCCCATCGCCCGCCGGCAGCTTCCGCCGGGGGGGAGGGCGCGGGGAGAGGCGCCCCCGGAGCGCCCGGGGCGGCGGCGAGGCCTCCGGGGGGGGAGCTGGGCGCGGCGCAGACGCGAGCACCGCTCGGCCGACCCCTACAGGGCAGTTTTTAATACATGGGATGTTCAAAAATATGGGAGTTTGATGCATGATTAATGTATGAATGAATGTATGCATGAACTCATCGTTGTTTTAAATAGTACTACATCCCTGCATTTTAAATACATGATCCGCACGCGGAGCATGTATAAAAAACGGCACTGTAAGCCCAGCGGTGTGGCCTGGGCCCCCAGCTGGGCCCCCAGATGGGGCTGCAGGCCGTTCCTTCTCGGGCCTCGAGGGGCGTCTATCTCCCCAGCTGGGGTGGGACTTGGAAAGTTGGTGGGGGTCTCCAAGGGGACGAGGCTGGGGGTGGGGCTCGGTGAAACGATGCTGAAGAAGAGCCTGTTTTTTGGATTCAGGCAAGTTTACTTGCATGGCGTTCGCCCCCCCCCCCCCCCCCCCCCTCGCCCCTCTTCAAGCGAATACTAGCGTGCAAGTGCCTTTCGACTTGCGTGATTTCCGCGCGCCCCCCCCCCGGGCTTGCTTCAGGCTCAGCCCCCCCCCCCCGTCCATGCAAGTAAACTTGCCGGATTAAAAAAAAGGCTCCAAGAGGGGGGTGTCCAAGAGGCGGGGGTGCAAATCATGGCCGGCGGCATGTGCGCGGCCCAGCGGGGGGGGCCAGGGACGCAATGAACTAAGAAGAGGCGCCATGACATCTGAGGAAAAATCATGGCCCGCGCCATGAAGTCCCCCCACCCCCCCTCCCAAGTCATCACACCCTCTTTGCCGCCCCCGACCGAAGGACCTTCAAGGAGAGCCTCCGGGCACGCGTATTGGGAAACGCTCACCAAAAGGTCTCTCGGGACACGCTGTGGGCTCGCAGGACCCTCGGCAAGGGGTCATACGCACTCCTTGGGGAACCAAAAGGTACCGATACCGCTACTCCCTGGACCTCTGCCGGGGTACGTTCTGACTAGGACTTCGAGGCGCATCCAGCGGTGGCGACGAGGGCCTTCCAGGAGGCCCGTGAAAAGGGGAAAACGGGCGAAGGGTAGCAGCATGGGTACCTTTTCCTCCTCTGACTCCTGGCCGAGGCCAGGAGGAGGGGATATACACCATCCTGGGGCCAAGGATGGCCCCAGACAAGCCCTGTGCTGGTGCGCGGGTGCCTTCTGCCGAGGCGCTGTGCCACGGCCCCTCTAAACATGAGGCAGGGGGGGCCGGCGCCGATCGGGTCGTTCGGCGGGCTACGCTACGGCGGAGAGGAGCCTCTGAAGCAGCTGCCGCTGCTCGTTGACCTCCGGGTCGGCTCCTTTCTGCTCCTCGTCCAGCTGGGAGAACACACTCTCGAATGCCTCGAACTGCTTCCTCGCCTCCACGGTGTCGCCATTGTTGAGCAGCGTTATGGCAAAATTGAGGTGGAACGTGTGGTCCGTATCCATGTCTACTGCCTTCTCGTAAGCGCTGCAAGCGTTGGCAAAGTCCTCCAGGCGGGACAGAGTAATGGCAAGGTACATATAGGACGATGGCCAGTCGGGCTTCAAGTTGATGCTGGAAGAGAAAAAGTGGAAGGCAGATGCGTACTGGCCGGTGCTCAAGTGCACAAGGCCCAAATTATAAGATATGATCCACTCGAACGGATCGAGATACAAAGCCCTTTTCAGGCAGGCTATGGCCGCGACGTACTTCGTCTTGCCGAAGAAACACATGCCAATGTTGTTCCACAACTGAGCTGAATTTGGCGCCTGTACGGCCGCCACTCGATATTTAACAAGGGCCACGTCCATGTCGGAGTGGTCCTGGATGATCGAGCCCGCAGCCAAGATAGTCTTGGCATTCTTCGGGTCATGGGTGAGGGCGTTGCCAAGATACTCAAATGCTTTCAAGTTCTCGCGCTCCCTCAGATAGAGGATGCCCAGCGTCGTGAGCAGCTCGGCGTGCTCGGGGGAGAACTCGAGAGCATCGGTGTACACATCAATGGCCGACTTATAATCCTCCTGCACAGCATAGACCTTGCCCAGCTGCATGAAGGTCACGTCGTGCCGCTGGATGGCGTTCGCCTTCGTGAAACAATCCACGCAAGTCTCGTAGTGTCTCAAGTGCATATGGCACAAACCCTTGTTGTGCCAGGTCTCCCAATCGTCAGGCGACAATTTCTGACACTCGTCGTAGACCTCGATGGCCGCGCTGTGCCTGCCGAGCAGATAGAGGCTGCGGCCCACCTGCTTCAGGGCATGGACGTTGCGCGGGTTGATGCACGTCGCAGCCTGGAACAGCTGCAGCGACTCCTGCACCCGCCCCTCCTGCCGGCGGATCAGTGCCTTCACGTAGATGGCATACTCGCACATGCCGTTGGACTCGCGCAGCTGCTCCTCGATGACGTCCGCGCACTCCTTGAACTCCTGCTGCACGTACAGCAGGTGGATCAGCCAATTCTTCTTCTCGCGCGCCGCGGCATGCGGCCTCAGCGCGGCGCTCCCTGGCGGCGGCGCCCTGGACGCGGACGCCCCGCCACTGGGGGCGCCTGCCATGGCTGGGCGCCCTCGGGGGCGCCGTGGCAGCGCGCCGCGGTCTGGGCCACGCGTGCGCGGCACCCCCGGGGGGCCTGCGGCGACGGCCGGGCCAAGGGGCGCCAGTGGTAAGTCGGGCGTGTCCCTCTACAGGGGGACGATTCAAAAATAGTCCAAAAATAGCCTGGCGACGATGTTTTAGGGCTATTCTTGAATATTTGCTGGATATGTTCTGGCCATTTTGAAGAGTTGGTCCAAAATCCGCCTGTAGGAGGACATGCCCGACCTAACGCCAGTGGCGGGGGGGGTGGGGGGACAGGACGATGCCGATACCGCTGCTCCCCAAACCTCTCCTGGCGGTCCGCCCTGACTAGGATTCAAAGGAGAATCCAGCCGTGGCGACGAGAGCTCTCCAGGACGACGGAGGGGGAAGCACGGGGACCATGATCAAGACTGAGCGCGAAAACGTCGTGTCGAGCTTGGTCACGGTCCATCGTGGTCAGCGTCGCTTCGTGGATCGTCCTCGCGAATCGGCGACGGCCGGCACGGGCCCTGGCCTGGATCGGCATCGGCACTATTCCACGATAGACTGGTCATGGTCAGTGTGCTTGTGCACCCGGGACGATGGTTGGACGTTGTGGTATACCCTGTCTACCGCTGTCCATTGGCGGCGCGCACAAGGGGGTGGAGGGAGGGGGGAGGGCTTCTTAGGAGGCTGCTTCTTAGAAGGCGCCGGCCTTACATCTACAGAGAAGGCCCGCGCCTTCTAAGAAGCAGGGGTGCTTCTAAGAAACCTTCCCCCCTCCTCCTATCCCCCTCTGCGCGTGGCCGATATACCCTGTCTACCGCTGTCCACCCGAGGAATTCATACCTGATTGGGCTTCCGCCTCTGGGCGACATGCCGCCCACCGCGTCGCCCCGACTCTCCACTGTGAGGCAGCTCGGGCGAAGCCACGAATATCGCGAGCAATTTCCAATGGAAAACGGGGGCGCGCAAACAATTTCATCCTCCTCCTCTTCCTCCTCCTCGTCCTCCTCCTCTCGGGGGCGCGCAAACATGGATTAGCGATCCATGGATCTGGCGCGCGGTCGGCAAATACATGGATCGGGGGAAGTGCCCTCCCCAAAACGCGGCCGGTGCCGCCTCGCTCGGCGGCTGAAGTCCGCGATTTCCACTGGAAACAAGACCCGTCGCTATTCCACGCCCTGTTGATCCATGCTTGCGATCGCTTGAAAAAGACGAGCAACGGCATCGGTGCCCTCGCCTCCTCCGAGCCCCAAGGGTGCCCGCGGCCCGCGCGCGCCCACCCTGCCAGGGGCGCCTAGAGCCGCAACGGCTGCGGGCCCGTTTCTCGGGCGCCAGCCTGGGCGGCGCCGGCCCGGCGCCGATGGCGCTCGCCCGTGCAGCCAAGAGGTGGCGCGGGTGAGCGACGCGATCAGAAACGTGTCTTGCGCGAGCCTGCGCGCAGGCCTCCGCGAGCAAAAGGCGTGCCCCGCGCGGCGAGCGGAGGCGTGTCTCGAGCAGAGAGACCCTGCGCGAGGGCCTGCGCGGGCCGCCCGCGCGGCACGCCGAAGTGGAGACGTGGGGGCGCTCGCGCGCGGCCCTGCGCGGGCAGCTGCGAAGGGGCCCCAGGACACACAAATTCGCCGGCCCAACGGGCCAGAGGCGTGCTAAGGTCTCCGGTAACTGGTTAACAGTATCTCTAGTTCGCGCGCGCGGGGCGGCCCCTGGGGGTCCCCGGACGAAAAGTACCCCGGGCGATCCCCGACCGACCCCCGAGCGATCCCCAGGAGACTCCCCCAGAGCGCTCCAGGAGCGCTCCAGGAGCGCACCAACAGGGCTCCGAGACGTCCCCGAAACCCTCAAGACGGGTCCAGATGCCCCCAAGAGGCTCCCAAGATGGTACACAAGGGTTCCGAGATGCCACATGATCGCTCCAAGACGCCCAAGATGGCCCCCAGACGCCCCAAGAGGCCTCCAAGAGCACTCCCAAAAGGGCCCCAAGAAGCAACATTCATAGCTTTTTCTTAAGTTTTTGAGAGATGTTGGAGCTTCCACCTTTTCGGCTTCCCGACGCCCCAAGACGGCCCAAGAGGCCCCCAAGATCGCCCCAAGAGGGCCCAAGAGGCCCCCAAGAGGGCCCCAAGATGGCCCAAGAGGGCTCGAAGACGGCCCAAGGAGCCTCCAAGACGGTCCAAGAGGGCCCCAAGAACGCCCCCAAGGGGGCCCCAGAGAGGGAACACGAAACAACATTTCGAGCCCTCGGCCCTAAGAAGCCCCCACGAGGCCCCAAGAGGCCCCTAAGAGGCCCCAAGAGGCCCCCACGAGGCCCTCAGGAGGCCCCCAAGAGTCCCCCAAGCGGCCCCAGGAGGCCCCCCAAATGCCCCCCCGAGCGCCCCAGGAGTCACCCAAGCGGCCCCAGGAACCCCCAAAGCGCCGCATTGACACCAGGCCCTCGGGCAAACGGCAGACATGAGACTGTATGGGCCGGCGGAATGAGCGAAGCGATTAAATAAATACACATTATCCCGGCAAAGCAACCTAACAGCGATGTGTAGGAGCATATCTGGAAGCATTCCCCTTAAGATTCAGATGAGAATCCAGTTGTAGAATTCTGCTGTTCTCGCAGTCGTAGTCGCATTCGCGATGACAGTCGCAGTGGCAACGGCAGTCACAGTCACAGCCTCTGCCTCAGCCTGCCTCAGCCTCAGCCTCAGCCTGCCTCAGCCTCAGCCTGCCTCAGCCTCAGCCTCAGCCTGCTTCAGCCTCAGCCTCAGTCTGCCTTCAGCCTCGGTGTCAGCCTCAGGCTGCCTCAGCCTCAGCCTGCATCAGCCTCAGCCTCAGCCTCAGCCTGCCTCAGCTCAGCCTGCCTCAGCATCAGCCTGCCTCAGCCTCAGCCTCAGCCTGCCTCAGCCTCAGCCTCAGCCTGCTCAGCCTCAGCCTCAGCTGCTTCAGCCTCAGCCTCAGCCTGCCTTCAGCCTCGGCCTCAGCCTCAGCCTGCCTCAGCCTCAGCCTCAGCATCAGCCTGCCTCAGCATTCAAAATGTGGCCCGGGAATGGAGTTCTGGGAACTCGAAGAACACGAAGTGGCCTACAGTTGGCTCCGGGCATTCAAAATCATGCCCAGGAATGGAGTTCTGGGAACTCGAAGACCACGAAGTGGCCTACAGTTGGCTCCGGGCATCAAAATGTGGCCCGGGAATGGAGTTCTGGGAATCGAAGAGCACGAAGTGGCCTACAGTTGGCTCCGGGCATCAAAATGTGGCCCGGGAATGGAGTTCTGGGAAGTCGAAGAGCACGAAGTGTGTGACTGTTGCATCCGGTTATTCAGAATGTGGCCTGGGAATGGCGTTCTGAGAGGTCGACGAGCACGAAGTGTGTGACTGTTGGTGAAAAACGAGCCCGGCACAGGCCCGGCCGGCAACTCCCAACGCCTGCCCGGACCCCCCTGTGGAGTGATCTGTGAGCTCTTTTGAGTCAACTAGAAACCTATCAGTCTTCGCTGTTAGGTAACAAATAAAACTATTCCCAATCTTTTCCCATATATTTTCTGGGTTCTTGTCTTCCCCCCACTTCCCATATTTTCCTATATTTTCCTGGGGATCGACGATTCATTGTGTCTGTGCGAAGGTCGGCGCAGGCGGTCCCTTTTGGTGGCGTCGCTCGGAAGGGGCACGGCGCGCAGGGCCCGGCGAGCTGGCAGGCCAGTGGCGGGGCGCTGCAGACTGCGGCGGGCCCGGTGGGTCGCGCGGGGCGGCGCGAGCTCGCCCGGATTCCGATCGCATCGAGTGAGCGAGTCTGCGATGGAGCAATCGATCGGGCCGACTCTGTCGCCGTCTGTGACATGAGCCTGGCGCGACCCCGGGCAGGGGCACTCTTGCTGCCGAAGCAGCTCAGAGCAGCTCTGCGCAATTCTGATCAACGCGGTGCAAAGCATTACTAAGCCTCGCTTGGAATCGTTGTTTGCCATTGCTTGGCATTGCTTGTCATCGTTGCTAAGAGTCCTTGCCTGGCATTATTTGGAATCGTTGCTTGGCCTGGAACCGTTGCTTGTTGCTCAGCAGTGCTTGGCGTTGCTTGGCATTGCTCGGCATTACTTGGCGTTGCTTGGCATTGCTTGGCTACAGGAAAGAGAACTATGCACATGCACCGATTCTGGCCGCCAAGCCCATCTCAAGCCCAGGATCGGCGCACACGCCCTCCTGCCTTGGCCAGGAGGGCTTATGCACCGATCCTGGGCCCAGGATGGGCCTGGCTAGAATCGATGCATGCGCATAACTCTCTTCGCCCGACTTGCGTTGCTCGGCGTGGCTCGGATTCGTTGCGCGGCATTGCATCGTGTCTCCTGCCATGGCTTTGGTCATCGCTGCTTGGCACTGCTCTTCCCGCGCAGCCCCGAGGAACGCCAATGGGGGCGGCCTCTGACAATGAGACCCCCGCCCCCCAAGGGACCCCGAGCCGCCACGAGGAACGCCGGGGGCCTCTGACGAAGGGCACCGCAGCGCACCTACCATAAGACAAAACCAGCACGAGGATAACACTATGCCGGGCGTTAAAACATACTAAAAAATATACCCCAGACTATTGTTGGACAACTTTTGGGTATTTTTCATTTTTCGTCGAAAATCCCCCTGTAGGGGGACAGGCCCGACTTAAGGATAAAACTGGGTGAGGATAAACAGAGAATCTCTGAGATCTCGCGGGCGCCGCTGCCTTCTCCGAGCGTGCCAGAAAAAAGGGCAGTGTTTAATTCATTTGATATTTTTTACTGTAGGATGTTTAACACCTGATTCATTTATGAGTACACGTATGCATGAGCTCATCGTTGCTTTTAATGTTAAATCCTTGCATTTCTAATACATGGTCCGCACTGAACGCCCTGAGAGCGTTCCAGAACGCTCTGGAACAGATCTACTCCCGTCCTGGCCCATCCCGATACTGGTTCCTTTCACACGAAGATAAGAGCCCCTCGTTATTCACTTGGGACAGTTCGGGTGAGTCTCTGCTTCGACCTTCCAGACACTTCAAGAGCGGTCCGAACAAGAAATCGCTGCGGGCAAAAGTCACCGAGCCGCAAAAATGGGGCTTGAAGCTCGAACAGCGAGCTCTGATCTGGGGAGGTGAGAGGAAACCGATACCGCCGCTCCCCTGACCTCTCCCGGGGCGCGTTCTGACCAGGACTTCGAGGCGAATCCGGCCGTGGCGGCGAGGGCCTCCCAGGAGGCCCAGAGAGGCGAAACCGAGACAAGGGGGAGCGGTATCGATGCCTCTTCCTCCTCTGACTATCATCCCTCCACCTCACCCCAGCGAGTCGCTTCGAGTGTTTGGATTTGCAGGGCGTGCGGGTTCTTCGGAGCAGAGCAGCCCCGTGGTCTCGCGCCCGACTGCGGTCCCCAGCGAATCATACGGAGAAGTGGAGGGAATACCTCTGGAGACTCGAGAGGCATCGTCCCCCCGAGTTGTAGCTTGTTGAAGCTGCTTCGCAATCGCTCCGAATCCGAATCTCGGGCCGGGCGAAAGGGGGGGATAGCAAATGGGGGGGTGAGAATCAGCTCACGCAACTGATCTTCTGGGCGCCTCCCCGCGCCGGGAGGCGGCCATGTGTCGAGGAATGGGCCCGGCGGCGAGGCCGAAACCAGCTGCATGCAGCAGATTTCGTAACCCCCCCTTTTCCCTTTCCCCCCCTTCCGTTCTCGGGAGCGGCCAAGAGGGGCCAAGAGGGGGGTGTCCAAGAGGGGGGGTTGCAAATCATGGCCGGCGGCATGTGCGCGGCCCATGGGGGGGGGGCCAGGGACGCAATGAAATAAGAAGAGGCGCCATGACATCTGGGGAAAATTCATGGCCCGCGCCATGAAGTCCCCCCTCCCAAGTCATCACCCCCTCTTTGCCGCCCCCGACCGAAGGACCTTCAAGGAGACCCTCCGGGCACGCGTATTAAGAAACGCTCAGAAAATGTTCTCTCGGGACACGCCGTGGGCTCGCAAGACCCTCGGCAAGGGTTTATACGCACTCCGTGGGGAACCAGAAGGCAGCAGCGGCGGGGCCGAAACCAGCCGCATGTAGCAGATTTCGCACCCCAACCCTTTCCCTATCCCCCCCTTCCTCGGGCGGGACTTCATGGGGGGGTCATAAACGGGGGGATCAGAAAAGGTCCCCTTTCGTGCTCCCTTCGGGCCCCTCCAGAGCCCCAGGGGGCTCGTTTGGGTACCGTTTGGGTACCTTTTCGAACCACCCTCGCCCCCCCCCCCCCCCCCCAATTTATGACCCCCCCATTACTTTGGACGCCCGACATGGGTACCGAAAAAATGGGTACGATGCCCAACAACAAATGTTGTCCCAAACCAACAGCGGCCGCTGTTGGGCAGGCGGCCTCCTGTCTCGAATGGACACAGGCCGCGGCGGCGTGGACAGCGAATCCTGTTCAGCATGAAGAAGAACTGCTGTTAGGCATCGTACCCATTCTTTCCGTGCCCATCTCGGGCGTCCAGAATTACGCGGCGCCCAACTTCCCTTCGGCCCGAGAGTCGGGATCCGCCCCCCCCCCCCGCGCGCGGAGGCTCGGGGAGGGGAGCGGTCCTGGGAGGGCCGTGGGCGCGGCGCCGGGCGGGCCCTCCTGCGCCGCTCTTGGGGGGGGGGGCGGGGGGCCCGCGCCGCACCGCCCGCTGTCTCCCGGCGCATGCCCGGGCTGCACGGTGGGGGGTGGGGGGGAACGGTACTCTAGGGGAACAAAAAAGGGCCTGAACCATAAAAACTCTGAGGACCGCGCGGACTTCTCGGGTCGGCGCTGGACCCCCCTCCCTGGCGCGCGGGCCGCGCCATGGGCGGCGGCGCCGCCAGGGGGGTCCAGCGCGGATCCGAGACATCCGCGCGGACCTCCGAGCTTTTGATGTTTATGTCACTTTTCGTCCCCCTCAGAACTACAGTCGGCCTTGGTTGGACAGGACACGCGAGAGGACACAAGACCCTTCCGAGGGCCACCTCGCCACAGGAATATAAGAAGGCACGTGTCGCGAGGCACAAGACACACGGGTACCCTGGAGCTGGCAGGGTCGACCTACTAATCCGGGCCGACTGTATGCACATACACCGATTCTGGCCAGGCCCGTCCTGAGCCCAGGATCGGCGCATACGCCCTCATATGCCTTGGCCAGAAAGGCACATGCACCCATCCTGGGTCAAGCATGGGCCTGGCCAGAATCGATGCATGTGCATAGTGCTCTTCGCACACGGCGAGGGCAGGGTCAGATGCTCCTTGAGCGCATGTTTTCATTCGCGGCCATAGCGGGCGTCATGAAGGGGACGGGCATAACTTAGCGGCCCCCCACAGACTGTGGTGCTGGACGCACTGCGACAGTGCCGGAGACACACTGGGGGAGCGTTACGTTATGGGGGGGTGAGGGGGGGAGGGCAGAGTGCATACATGACGCGCGTTATGGCCCAAAGGGTGGTAAACAGACACTCTCCAAAGGACCTTCCCGTAACCACTCGCTCCACTCATGTGCCGATGCTGCGCCGAACGTCCGTCGATTGGAGTCGAGCCTGAGTTGAACTCGAGTCGAGCTTGAGTCGAACTATGGAGTCGAGAGAGGGTCGAACTGGAGCGACGAGCATGTCCCTATCTCCAGGTCTTCGGGAGAACGGTATCAAAGGCTATTCAGCAACTGAACGGCATTGGGCCCGATTCGGCTGGTGATTCAGCCCGATGAAACGGGATTCGGCAGGATTAGGCCAAGTGTTTCGACCTCGGATCTACCAGCGCCGATGCTGAATTACCATCCTAACTTGCATCCTGACGAACTTGCTCATATCCGTGCCCTCGTGCGCAGTCCCCTGGATATCCAATCCCATGGATGCGCTCCGCGAGGGGCGGATGCGCGCAGGGCCGCCCAATATCCGTGGGGCTGCGGCCGAGGAGTCCGGACCGCGCGAGCCCGCGGATATGGATATGTGCCCCGCCCCTCTGGAGTCGGACGCACCTCTCGGGGATGTTCTGACCCAGGTAAAATCCAGACCCGGGTAAGTCAGGCCTTGCAAGATCCTGCAAAATCCTGCTGGATCCTGCAGGATCCTGCGCCCAAACCCGGGTCAATGCGACCCTGGCCGTCCAGGATCCTGCAAGATCCGGCGCTCTGACTGACTCCCGTTTGCATTGACCCTCGTCTCTTGACCCTCTGGGTAGGTCTACGTCCCTGCAGCGTGGCCCATGGTCGACTTCAGGACGGAGCTTTTCACGTTCTTGAGACCTCCAGCCTTTTCAAGTCCCACGCCCCTAACGGGAGGCAAGCGGGAGGCCGGCTAAGCTTCCTCTGGCACTCCACTCCAGGCGGCGGGGCTTCGAGAGGCTGTCTGTGTCTTCGGGGAAGGCGTAGAAAACTTCTGTCAGGCCTCTAGGGCCCCAAGAGGCCCACACCTGGGAATCCCAGAAGTTCGCGTAAGACTTCATTCTCGCCGCATCGGCCGCAAAGGCGTTCAAGACGGCCTAAGAAACCCCTCTTTCAAGCCCAAGACGAGCCCAAGATGCCTCAAAGACGGCCTCAAGAGGGCGACAAAAAGCGCGAACCCTCCAACACGAGCCCAAGACCCCGAAAAAGCCTCCAAGAGGGGCCCAAAACCCTGCTCTGCACGCGCGCAGATGGCCGCAAAAGACCCCCACAAATTCCTCAAGACGCCCCCGAGAGCCGCCACAGTGTCCCCAAGGGCTCTGAAACACGACCCGAGTGAGGTGTCGGGATGTACCGAAACCAGAACTTTCTTGCGCTCGCATTTAGGGGGCCACATGCGAACCCTCCCCCTGCCCCCCACGAGTTCTGAGGGGGGGGGTGGGTTTCGTATGGGGCCCCTAGCATTAGGACCGCCACGCCACTGTCCCTGGCCCAACTGGCGGAATCAGGCGTAGTTTGGAAAACAAAACGACCAACAATCTTCACCACCGAGAAAGAAGAGCCGTTCGAACATGCGACCATTCTCACACTAACAAGCCGAAAACAGCTCGGACATCACAACCCCGAAGCATTTGGAGACCACAACGACGCTGCACTGGCGGACAGACGAATTGACACAATCGTTGCGGATGCCATGACAGTGGACACCCTAGCAATCCTACCATTGAGTTCAAGATGTGTTTAACATGTGTAGAGCATCTTCTAATCATGTTTCCAACATGTTTTTTAAACATGCTTAAAATATGTTTAAAACACTTTCTAGACATCTGGAGATTATTTGGCAGCATGCTTCCTCTCCGTTAATCGGCTTCCACAACACAATAGCGGAGGGCATCGGGAAGTCCTGAGTGGTCGCCCTGGGCGGCGGCTCTTCCGGCGTCGACTGGGAGACGTGCATGGCGGCAACGTCTGACTTCGCGCTGTCTGCCTTCGCGCTCGTCGTCGTCCCTATTCCCCCGTCTGCCTGCTGTCCCTCCTCTCGCCTGCCGCCGCCCTCGCCCCCCCGCTTCCCCCCCCCCGCGACTGGTCTGTTGTGTGGCCCGTCGTGCTTTCGCGTGGCCAAGCGCGCATCTTGATGGGTTGTATTGCGGCCCGTGCTGGCCGTCCAAAGAAAAATAAACACCTTAAACACCTGGGCAACACTGAATTCTTCAATCTCCACACATGACATCGTGGCTGCACAAATAACAATATTCAACCGTGTCAAACGCAAGCCTGCAGTAGAAACAATCGTCGCAGCACTCGTGGTATTAGTCGTAGTAGTAGTTGTAGTACTCGTAGTAGTGGTAGTAGCAGCAGCAGCAGCAGTAGCAGTAGTAGTAGTAGTAGTAGTAGTAGTAGTAGTAGTAGTTGTAGTATAGTAGTAGTAGTAGTAATAATAATAGTAGTAGGAGTAGTAGGAGTCGTGGTGGGAGCCGTAGTAGTAGCAGCAGTAGTAGCAGTAGTATAAGTATAAGTATAAGTATAAGTATAAGTAGAAGTAGTAGTAGTAGTAGTAGTAGCTGTAGTCGTAGTCGTAGTCGTAGTAGTAGTAGTAGTAATAGTAGTAGTAGTAGTAGTAATAGTAGTAGTAGTAGTAGTAGTAGTCGTAGTCGTAGTAGTAGTAGTAGTCGTAGTAGTAGTAGTAGTAGTAGTAGTAGTAGTAGTAGTAGTAGTAGTAGTAGTAGTAGTAGTAGTAGTAGTCAAGGTAGTAGTAGTAGTAGTAGTAGTAGTAGTAGTAGTAGGTAGCAGTAGTAGTAGTAGTAGCCGTAGCCGTAGCCGTAGCCGTAGCCGCAGTCGTAGGAGTAGTAGTAGTAGTAGTAGCAGCAGTAGTAGTAGTAGTAGTAGTAGTAGTAGTAGTAGCAGTAGTAGTAGTAACAGTAGTAGAAGTAGTCGTAGTAGTAGTAGTAGTAGTAGCAGTAGTAGTAGTAGTGGTGCCCATAGTAGTAGTAGTAGTAGAAGCAGCAGTAGTAGTAGTAGTAGTAGTAGTAGTAGTAGTAGGAGTGGTAGTGGTCGTATAGTAGCAATGATACGAACAATAAATGTAATAGTAGTAGTAATAACAGTACTAGTAGTGGTAGTGATAGCAATAGTACTCGGATGCGGAGGAGGAGAAGTAGTAGTATTAGTCGTGGTGAAGAAAATAACAGTACTATCAGTAGTCGAACTAGCAATAGAAATCGTAGTATAAGTAGGAGTAGTAGTAGAAGTAATCGTAGTAATAATGGTGATAGTGATCATAAGAGTCGTAACAGTAGTAGTCGTAGTCGTAGTAAACGCCTTGGTTGTAGTAGTCGTAGTAATAGTAAAGCAAGTAATAGTCGTAGTAGTAGTGGCAGTAGTAGTAACAGTAAGTCTAATACTCGCGCTACTAGTAGGAGTAGTCGTAGTAGTAGTAGTAGTAGAAGTAGTAGTAGTAGTAGTAGTAGTAGTAGTAGTAGTAGTAGTAATGGTAGTAGTCGTCATCATAATACGAATACTCGCAGTAGTAAGAATACAAATGATCGTAGTAGAAGTAGTAGTAGTAGTAGTAGTAGTAGTAGTAGTAGTAGTAGTAGTAGTAGTAGTAGTGGTAGTAGTCGTAGTAGTAGTAGTAGTAGTAGTAGTAGTAGTAGTAGTGGTAGTAGTAGTAGTAGTAATGATAAACATCGCAGTAGTCGTAGACATAGCAATCGCGGTCGTACTAGTAATTGCACGTGTAAGTGAAAGTCTAGTGGTAAAGGTAGTAGTACCAATCGTAGCCGTAATAGTAGTAGTCATCATAATAATAATGGTATCAATACCACTATCCGTGGCCGGAGCACTCGTAATCGTAGTAGTACTAGTGGTATTCGTAGTCGTAGCGGTAACACTAGCTGCAAAACTAAAGTGGTAGTCGTCGTAGTACTCGTAATCATAATCGTAGTACTAGTAGTGGTAGCAGTCGCAACAGTAGTAGATCACGGTTGCAAAAAGCATAGTCTGAGAAATAATATTACCAGTACTCGTAGTAGTCGCAGTACTGAAACCACTCGTGAATTTAGCAGCAGTAAACGTGGAATTATCAATCTATGTAGTAATGGTACTGGTAGTCACGGTAGTCGTAGTAGCAATCGTAGTAGTAGCGGTAGTAAGTTAGTTACTGAGACTAGTGAGAATAATAGTAATCCGCCGATCCGGCGTGTGAGTTTCAAGGAGTCTCAGCTACAGCCTCGAGGCTGAGCCTCAGCCTCTGGGGGGGTTGCCGGGGTGGCTCTGCCAGGGAAGGGGGGATGGGAGGGGGGGGAGGGGGGGGTGCGAGTTTCCGGCGGATGCGGGGTGACGGCCCGAGAGCCCCCCCAAGCGTCCCCAAGAAGACCCCAAAGAGGGACGAAAAGCGGAAAAAGCGGAGGCCCCAAGAGCTCCCAAGAGGGCCCCCAAAAGCCTCCAAGAAGCGCCCCGGGACGCCCTGACAGGCCCCTAAGATGCCCCAAAAAACGCCCCCAGACGCCTAAGAGCTCCCAAAAGGGCCCCCAAAAGTCTCCGAGAAGCCCCCCAGGACGCCCTGACAGGCCTCCATGTCTGCGGCGCGGGTTGGGTGGTGTGACTGCGTGTGTGCGTTTGAGTGTGCGCCCATAATGTCTGCGTCTGGAGAATAACCCCGAGCGACCCAGATCGGCGGCACTGGCCGAAGGCCACTACAATACTAATAATGATAACCCTTATCGGTGTGATGATAGTAGTAATTGTAGGAGTGTGAGTAGTAGTAGTAGTAGTAGTAGTAGTAGTAGTAGTAGTAGTAGTAGTAGTAGTAGTAGTAGTAGTAGTAGTAGTAGTAGTGGTAGTAGTAGTAGTAGTAGTAGCAGTAGTAATAGTAGTAGTAGTCCAATAGATGCAGAAGTAACAATAATACTAGTAGTCGTAGTCGTAGTAGTAGTCGTCGTCGTCGTAGTAGTCGTAGTAGTAACAATAGTAGTAGAAGTAGTAGTAGTAGTAGTAGTAGAAGTAGTAGAAGCAGTAGTTGTAGTCGTAGTAGCAGTAGTGGTAGTAGTAGTAGTAGTACTGGTCGTTGTCGTCATGAAGATGATCGTGAATGTAGTAGTAGTAGCAGCAGTAGTAGTCGTAGTAGTAGTAGTAGTAGTAGTAGTAGTAGTAGTAGTAGTAGTAGTAGTAGTAGTAGTAGAAGTAGTAGAAGTGGTAGTAGTAGCAGTTGTACTAGTACTAGTACTAGTAGTAGTAGTAGTAGTAGTAGTAGTAGAAGAAGTAACCGTAGTATTAGTAATCGTAATGGTAGTAGTGGTAGTAGTATAATGAACAGTAATAGCAGTGGACATATTATTATTAGAAGTAGTAACAGTATTCAGTAGTAATGGTCGTAATAATAGTAGTAGTAGCAGCAGTAGTCGTAGTAGTAGTAGCAGTAGTAGTAGTAGTCGTAGTAGTAGTAGTAGTAGTAGTAGTAGTAGCAGTAGTAAACAAACATAATAGTAGTACTAGTAATCGTAGTAGTAGTAGTAGTAGTAGTCGTAGTAGTAGCAGAAGTAGTAAGTAGTAGTAACAGTAGCAGTACAGTAGTAGTAGTAGTCGTAGTAGTAGTAGTAGTAGTAGTAGTAGTAGTAGTAGTAGTAGTAGTAAGTAGTAGTAGTTAGTAGTAGTAGTAGTCGTCGTAGTGTAGTAGTAGTAGTCGTACTAGTCGTAGTAGTCGTAGTAGTAGTAGTAGTAAGTAGTAGTAGTAGTAGTGTAGTAGTCGTAGTAGTAGTAGTAGTCGTCGTAGTAGTAGTAGTAGTAGTAGTAGTAGTAGTAGTAGTAGTAACAACAACAACAGTAGTACTCGTAGTAGTGGTCGTCGTCGTAGGGGAGAAGGAGGGGGAGGAGGGGGAGGAGGAGGAGGAGGAGGAGGAGGAGGCCTTGCCTGGGGCGTGCGGGGGAGGGTGCGAGGGGAGGACACGGGGAGGAGAGGGTGGTGGATACGAAGCGGAGCGAGGCGAGCGGACGGAACGGGGGGGGGGAGGGCAGGGCGGAGGGGGGAGAGGGAGGTTCGGGGGAAGGGGGAACAATCAGCGAGAGGGGAGAGGAGGGAGGAAGGGAGGGGGAGAGGGGACTTGGGGAGGGACGGCTCACACAGAACAGCGCGCGAATTCTTGAAGCGAGGGAAGAAACCCCCTGGGTCCGTCAATCCTGCGGGGGATGGACGCATCAGAGGATTAGGAGGGAGAACTGTTGTCGCCGCATCGCCATGTCGACCCCTCAACTCTAAACCTCCTCACCACATCGCCCCCCTCGCCGCAAAAGTCAAACCTGAACCGCCCCACCCGCCTCGAAGCCGGACTGTCCCATCGCCCCTCTCACTCCGAACCTGCTCGCCTCGAAACTCCATCGCCACACCATCGCCTCCTGGACCCCTCAAACATTAACACCCGCACCTGCCCGCTGCCCCTCCCGTCCAGCCCCCTGTGCTCCCTTCCATTCCCTCCCTGGCGGGGCCTCCCGCGTGCGGATGCGCGGCCGCCTGCCATCGCTCCCCGAGAGGGTATTAGCGAGGCAGCTTCGGACTCTCCCTGCTGGCCGCCGACCTTCCTTTCCTCCCTCCCGCCCCTCTCCTGCCCACTCTCCCCTTCGACTCCTCCTCCCCGCGCCTCCCCGCTCCCTGCCCCTCCCGCCCCTGCCGAGCCATCCCGTGCCGCCTCCCCCCCCCGCCGCCGCCGCGCTCCCCCGTGCGCCCTTCCGGGCGCCTCCTGGCTGCTGGCGGTCGGCACCCGCGCCGTCGAGGCCCTCAGGGCGAGCAGAGTGCTGGAGACCACGTCGGAGGCGAGCGCGCAGAGAGTCTGACGGCGGGCGCGGGGTGGCGGTGGACGAGGCCGAGGAGGGCAGAGGAGGAGGAGGAGAAGGAGGAGGAGGAGGAGGACGAGGTGGAGGCGGCTGTGGCCATTTTGAATCGGGGGGCTTGCCACCTCGACTCCCAACCTCGCTGAGGGGGATCACCGCTTTCCTCTATAACCTGGCCGCCCCTTGGCGGGGGCCATGCCTCTCACCGCACGATCAATGTGCACATTGAGGCTATTACTTGGAGTGTACGGCCCAGGGAAGAACTCTGTACTGTACAATTGTCTGACAAGACGGGCGATTGCTCCAGGGCGGCTGGAGATTGCATGCGCCCCCAGGTGCCGCCACGGGGCGAAACTTTCCAGCAACCCTCGAAGAGGCGCTCCCGATGGTGGAGCATTCCTGTTATACTGTGGCTCCCGGTTAGTTTCACACTCTGGGAGGTCACGATGGTCCCGCATACATAAGGCGGGCACGTGGGGTCCGCTGGGCGAGCGTAGAGAACGTAACGCTGGTATCCTATGTGCAAATGCGTTTGAGCACGCCTGGGGTGGTCATGTCGGGTATGACCGTCTTGGGTATGGTCGTCCTGGGAGTGCCCAACCGAGTTCAAAACGATTGAAGAGGCCCTGGGACACACAAATAAATACACACAAATAAAAACATTCCCCATATTTTCCTATATGTTCAGAGTTTTTGTTTTCCCCCCCACTTCCCATATTTTCCCATATATCGACGATTAATTGTGTCTGTGTGCTTTTTTTCCCTCCTGAAATACACCTGTTGCCTGCCGCTGCTCCCGCCAGCCTCTCCCCCTCCTCCCTCCACCCCTTTCCCTTGTGGACAACACCTCCCTGTCGCACCCCCAGGAGGGTCGGCAGGGCGGGCCAGGCGTTTCGCGTGAGGCTGGCTCACCATGTATGACCCTGGCGCTTGAAATTTGCAACGGTTTCACGGATTCAGGGCGGGTGGTTTGCAGCATGCGGCTCTCGCATTGGCGCCGCGCACATTCGTGTCAAAAGTTTGCGACAGGTTCACAGGTTCGCATGGCTAAAGTCCCATTAACGGCGTTCTGGCACGACTTGGGATTCTCAGGACGCAACAATCACGACATTTGCTGTGAAGTCGCAGGAATGGCGTTCTGGCACGACTTCGGATTGTCAGGGCGCAGCGGCCGAGTTGATCCGCGGTGTTGAAGTCGATGATCTTTTGGCACGATTCAAAACTCTCAGGCGATTGTCTTCTATTTGGCCACGCCCCGCATTGAAAACGAAGTATTGCATGGACCAAGGACATGTGGAGCTGGAACTTGGAAGGAAATTGGATTGCAACATCGGTGATGCGTCTTGGGCTTGCACTGGTCCTCCTCATCCCCACCCCTCCATGTCCCTCCTGCTCAAGGTCCTCCGGCCTCCCTCTTCGCGCTCCCGCCGACCTCGAGCTTCTCCCACCGCACCCGCCGGTCTCGTCGCATGAGCCTTTCCGGTCGGGGTTACGGGCTCCATCTTCCCTCTCGCTCCTATCGGTCGGCCTCCCCCGAGAGCTCCAGCAGTCTCGAAGGCCCACATCCAGCGGACACATGCGTTCATAAACCTCGATCTAGGGAATCTTCGGGCACCTTGTTCGTCGATCTTTGAGGGTCCGCAGGTGCCCCCTAGAGCTTGTGTAGGTGCCTGGACCTATTTCAAGGACAACACATTCCGTAGAGGCGCCTGGCACGCCGACTTCTTTGTTGACGCGCCTAGTGCACGGACGTCTCCAGGCTGATGCACCCGTGGAGTTGCTCGCTGGCACAGCAGGGTCCACAGTTGGAGAGATAGTCAACGGCATGAGCAGACGTACACTTTGAGAGGTCCGCAGAAGTCTCTGCGGTCCGCGCTGACCCCCCCTCCCGTGGCGCGCGGGGCGCGCCAGGGGCGGCGCTGGAGGCACAGCCAGGGAGTGTCCAGCGCCGACCCATCAACTTCGCGCAGACGCCCACAGAGTTGCTTGTATGCACCTGCTGTTCTTCCTCCGAACAGCGCCTCTGGATCCCGAGCGGGCGTCTTCCTTCGAATGAGGAGTTCTGTCCCCGAGGCCAGGAAGCCTGTTGGACTCCTGTGGCTCCCGCAGCACTCGGGTGGCACAACTCCTCCTCCTCCTCCTCCTCCTCCTCCTCCTCCTCCTCCTCCTCCTCCTCCTCCTCCTCCTCCTCCTCCCTCCTCCCTCCTCCCTCCTCCTGTCGGCTTCGGCTTGTCGCCGCGCCCTCGGAGGAGCGGCACCTCGGGCTCCTCCGCTCATCCCGCGCTGCGCCTGCCGCCGCCGCTCCTCCGACACGCCGCCCTGCGCCCTCTCTGCTGCTGCTCCTATCGAGGGCAGCCTTCGGCCTGACCCAAGAAGCGACCAATAAGGAACGAAGCCCCTTTTTCCCAAGTAAGTCTACGAAGACCGAGGGAGCACACGGGGCTGCTCCTATCGAGGACAGCCTTCGGCCTGACCCAAGGAGCGACCAGTAGGAACGAGCCCCTTTTTTTTCCCAAGTAAGTACGATCCGAGGGAGCACGGGCTGCTCCTATCGAGACAGCCTTCGCCTGACCCAAGGAGGCGCCAATAGGAACGAAGCCCCTTTTTCCCAAGTAAGTCTACGAAGCCCGACACACGGGGTGCTCCTTCGAGGACCCTTCGGCCTGACCCAAGGAGCGACCAATAAGGAACGAAGCCCCTTTTTCCCAAGTAAGTCTACGAAGCCCGAGGGAGCACACGGGGCTGCTCCTATCGAGGACAGCCTTCGGCCTGACCCAAGGAGCGACCAATAAGGAACGAAGCCCCCTTTTCCCCAAGTAAGTCTACGAAGCCCGAGGGAACACACGGGGCTGCTCCTATCGAGGACAGCCTTCGGCCTGACCGAAGGAGCGACCAATAAGGAACGAAGCCCCTTTTTCCCAGGTAAGTCTACGAAGTCCGAGGGAACACACGGGGCTGCTCCTATCGAGGACAGCCTTCGGCCTGACCCAAGGAGCGACCAATGAGGAACGAAGCCCCCTTTTCCCCAAGGAAGTCTACGAAGCCCGAGGGAACACACGGGGCTGCTCCTATCGAGGACAGCCTTCGGCCTGACCGAAGGAGCGACCAATAAGGAACGAAGCCCACTTTTTCCCAGGTAAGTCTACGAAGTCCGAGGGAACACACGGGGCTGCTCGTATCGAGGACAGCCTTCGGCCTGACCCAAGGAGCGACCAATAAGGAACGAAGCCCCCTTTTCCCAAGGAAGTCTACGAAGTCCGAGGGAACACCCGAGGGGGGCTCGCCGCCAGGAAGGTAGCGGAACGCATGCAGACCGAAGGAAAGACCGAGCCCCCTGTGAAAAGTGAGTGTTCCTTGTTCAAGCCGGACCCTGTAGGGGATCGACTGCGGAGTCGTTTCACCCCAAAACTGATTTCTTCGTCGACGCTGCGAATAGCCTCCGACAGCTCTACGGACAGGTCGATGCGAAAAAACAATGTTGGGGCACATCAATTCTGCAGTCGATCTCATACTCGATCCTACTGCCGCTGCATCTCCGCCTCGTGAAGCTGACTCTGCTGCCAACGGCGAGGAACACGTGTGGCGGGCCTCTCTCCTGGCCTCCATGTTGTCGAGGGACACCTGCGCTCTCGCCTGGTGCGGCGCGCGCTTCGAGTTGTCAATCGTTTATGTGGCATCATCGGGGGACCTTGTCTATCCCGTCGCGCTCCTACCTGCGTCGAATCCGTGTCGAATTCACGTTGGACTTGTCGAATCCGTGGCGAATCCGCATCGAATCCACGCCAGGTCCGCATCGAGTCCGCATCGAGCCCGCGTCGGGCACAAGAACACACACCAATGTTGGGAACAAGCGAGGTTCCCCGAAGATGCAACCTAAAGTCGTCTCTGGAGCGGTCGTCTGTAATTGTTTGCACAATGGATTCCGATCGCCGATCCAGTCTGAGTTCCTTTGGCCTCGGATGCTCTGCAGAGTCTTTCGATGACGTGCCACGCCAAAGTCTAACCGGTTCTGGGCAGAGGGGCTAGAGGCCTCCTACATGGGGTCCGAGCAGACGGTGTCGGAGGATCGCGCCGCATCACCGATGCACCGATGCATCGGCGCGGCGATGCATCGGCGACGTCGGCGATACATCGGCGCCGGCGGCGCGGAGAAAATCGGGCTCCGCATTTAAAGGGAAATTAGGACACACAAATAAATACACACAAATAAAAATAGTCCCCATATTTTCCCATATTTTCTGGGTTTTTGTCTTCCCCCCCAATTCCCATATTTTCCCATATTTTCCTGCGAGTCGACGATTAATTGTGTCTGTGTGTTTTTTCCCCTCCTGAGTATTGAGCCGCATAGCCGATGGATCGGCGGTGCGGCGCGACTCCCCGACCCCGTTGGCTCGCGTCGACGGCGGGCGCCGAGGGGTCGGCGGTGGGCGCTCTCCGGCGGGAGGCCCAGAACGGGGGGCCTTCCCCGCCTGAGCTCCCTGTGGTCCCCGAGGCCTGGTCCCCAGGGGCTCCGCCTCCCGAGCGGCCGTGGCCGGAAAGCTCCGAAGGTAAGCGTGGCCCCGATCGGACGGCCGGCCGAGTCGGCGAGCTGGGAGGTGGGCGTGGACCCGATAAGCCCAATGGGAGGACGAGGGCCCCAAGAGACCGAAACGTCGTCGTCGTCGTCGATTTCGTCGTCGATTTCGTCGTCGTCGTCGTCGTCGTCGTCGTCGTCGTCGTCGTCGTCGTCGTCGTCGTCCCCCTTCAAGGTCGGCGGCAGCATCTGCCGTAAGGTCTTCGAAAAATAAACTGAGCCCTGGTCAGACGGCCGGCCGACTTAGCGAGCTGGGAGGCGGGCGTGGACCCGATAAGGCTCATGGGAGGACGAGGGCCCCAAGAGGCCGAAACGTCGTCGTCGTCGTCCCCCTTCAGGGTCGGCGGCGGCACTGGCCGTAAGACCTTCGAAGTGTAAATCGAGCCCTGGTCAGACGGCCGGCCGAATTAGCAAGCTGGGAGGCGGGCGTGGACCCGATAAGGCTCTTGGGAGGACGAGGGGTAGAAACGAGCAGTGATGAGCAGAGATGATGAGCGACATGTATGACAAGGGAGGCTGCGTGGGGAAGGAGTAGGCGGGATGCTGGGGATGAGGAGGGACAAACTGGAGCGGAGAAATGGAAGGTCAGGATGGAAGGGGGAACGGCATAACATAGCAGGCATAGAGACTCGTTCTCCTCATCCACCTCGTCCTTCTCAATTTTTCTTGCTGCCCCTCCTCCTCTATCTGCTCTCCTCTTCGTCTTATAGCGCTGCTCTTCCACCGCCTCATCCTCCTCAACTCGTCCGCTTGCTCGCACGCGCCGTTCCTGCCCTGCTCCCATGCCCCTGCTCCTCCATCCCGCCTGCTCATGGGGTGCACGCACCGTGCACCATGCTGACCACTCCGCTGTCACGTTGCCTTGTCATGGCGAGAACCGTGGGGGTACCATTAGGTCGGGCATGTCCCCTGCAGGCGGAGCTTGGAGGAAACATAAGACCTAGTCAACGAATATCCAGACATACTCGAACAGGGTCAAACAGCCGTCCCCCGACCACATTTCCACGATTTTTCATTATACTCCTCCTCTAGGAGGCACAGGCCCGACTCAAAAGGGCACCAGCTCGCTGTGCGAGCTGGGCGGCCGAAGCCACCGAGGCCCCCGGGGCGCACGGCGCACTCGGCGAGCGCGGCGCGCACCCCCGGGGCACACGGTGCGCCCGGCGCCCACCGCGCAGCGGGCCGGCGACTCCGAAGGGTGTGGCCTGCAGAAAGGCGTGGCTCGCCACCGGCTCCCCGAGGGGCCGCCCCTCTCGGGGGCGGCGGGCGGGGCGCTCGACGGAGCTCTCCGCCGCGCCCCGGGGAGCCCCCGACGAGGACAGCGTCCTGCCCAACACCGGCGGTCCCCGACGGTGCCGATCACCAGCCACACCCGGGCGTAACCGTACCCTCTGTAGCCGCCGCACAGGGGCAGGCGCGGCGCACGCGGCGCGCGCGTGGCGCCTGTGCGCATGGCGCATGGGAGCGGAACCAGCAGTCCTTGACAGTCAGGCGGATTGGAGAGGACACGCGAGAGGCCGCAAGACCCTCTCCGGGGGGCCACCTTGCCGCAGGAATGCAGAAGGCACGGGTCGCGACACGCAGGGCACGAGGGTACCCTTGATTTCGCAGGGCCTACCTACAAGTCATCCTCGACTGTACTGCTTACTGCGTCGATTCGCCACTGTGCATCAACGAATAGGTCAACCGTGCGCGCGACGAATCCCACCAGCCCTCTGGGCGACGACATATTCTCACGAGTTCTTTCTTGAAGGGGCTCAAGGACACACCAATAAATACAAACAAATGAAAGGATTCCCCAGATGATCACATATTTCCTGCATTTTCGTCTTCCTCCCCACTTCCCATAGTTTCCCATATTTTTCTAGGAATCGACGATTAATTGTGTCTGTGTGATTTTTCCCCTCCTGATTTCTTTCCTTCAAAACCCTCTTCCCTTCGGGGAAGGGTGCCTCCCTGAAGTTTCGTCTTGGGAAGGCGGCGCCGGGGTGCTGAGACCGCCCAGGACTACTCTCCGGGCGGGGCGCGAGGAGTTGGAGCGCCCAAGATGGCCCGAGATGGCTCCAAGATGGCCCCCGATGCTCCAAGATGACCTCCAAGATGGCCCAAGATGGCTCCAGATGACCCCGATGCTCTTAGATGACCCCCGATGCTCCAAGATGACCTCCAAGATGGCTCCCAGATGGATCCAAGATGGCCCCCGATGCTCCAAGATGACCTCCAAGATGGCTCCAAGATGGCCCAAAATGGCTCCAAGATTGCCCCCGATGCTCCAAAATGACCTCCAAGATGACGGAAGATGGCTCACTACAGCTTCTGGCGTACCTCCAAGAAGCCCGACGAGGGCCACAAATCAGTTCCGAGTGCTCTCGGAGCCGCCTCGGGACCCGACGTAAATACAATGGTGTTTGTCTTCTCGCCTTTTCGCTTCCGATGCTACGTTGAGGCATCAAGGTCGTCCACAGATGGCCCAAGAGAGCCTCAAGAGGGCCCAAAGAGGTCCCCCGAATGGCCCTAAAAGGGCCCAGAAACCCCAAGAGGGCGATGTAGAGGCCCCCAGATGGAGGACTTAGATACGCGACCCCGCCCCTTTTGATCGATGGCCTCCAAGATGGCCTCATGAGGCCCTCCAGGGCTCCCAGAAGAGCCCGAAGCTGGCTCCAAGAGGGCCCCCACGAGCGTCCCACGAGAGCTCCAAGAGGCCGTTTGCCTCCTCCTCCTCCTCTTCCTCCTCCTCCTCCTCCTTCACTGGTCCTCCCGCGGGCCCCAGGGGATGAGGTCCTCCAAGACCCCCCCTCCTCGTCCTCCTCATCCTCCTCGTTCTCCTCCTCCTTCTCCTTACACTTGTCTTCCTTCTCCTCCTCCTCCTCCTCCTTTTCATCCTCTTCTCGCCCCCCCCCCCCCCCCCCCCCCGCAGGCCCCAGGGATGGCCCGACGAGGCCCTCCAAGGCCACCCCTTTGCTCCCAGAGATCTCTCTGTTCATCCTGGTTGCCCGCTTCGTTTCACTATGTGTGTAGCTTCCTCCCTTGTCCCATCAACGCTCATGAACAAGGCTTCTGGACGGGCTGGTGGGGATACTTTTTTGGTCAGCGGCTCCGAGGCAACGGACAGGGAGCGGAAGCGGCGTCCGGGTCACGGTACGGGGCTAATTTGCAAGTCTGCTGGGGATACGCGAAACGCAGAGAATTCTGACTGCGAAAAGACTACACGGCATTGCTCATGTATACCGCGGCTCAATGTGTGCCTGGTTGGAGTCGCATACTGTAGCCAATGCGCTGGTAGGCGCGATCAAGATAGAGATCGAAGCGATCAAACCAATAACAGTCAGGGAAGTATTGCGGGAGATGGTGGTCGACCAACAAAAACAAACACACATTGAAACTTTAAAACAGACTGCCGGCTACAGATGACAACGGCAGCCCCGGAATAAGCACCAACACAGATCTGAGAGACACCGCGCCTGTCGCATGTCTCAGTAATGCTCAACGGGCTCTCGATTGCCACATGGGGAACGTGACGATTTTGGACAGATATCATTTCCAGAAGATCGTCAAGAAAATTTGGCAAGCTACGGATTATACACCAACTATTGATCGCGTGGCAGAAGATCTTTCCAACGCTGCCCACATCATGCGTCCGCTCTGGCACGGACAGATAGGAACTCGCGAAGTCTTCACGCAAGTGAGCGATCAACACGCTAGGCGCCCAGAAGGTATCGTTCCGATCAAGCGAACACGACCCACGAGACGGACACGGGTACAAGAAATCCCCGCGAAAAGGGGATCACGAGGGAAGTGTAGCGGTATCAGTGCAGTGGAGACACGTCCACGAGAAACCTTCCACAAAAAAACCACCCCGAGACCCCAGGACGTCCACCGGGCTTTGGCGCGGGAGCGCCGCGCTCTCCGTGCCGCATCTGCCATCGAAACCCGAAACACCCAGGGCACCCCGGAGGCGAGCAGGGTGCCTCTTGGCACGGGTCTCCACTGTGCCTGCTCCTTCCCTGAGGAAGAGGAGGAGGAGGAGGAGGAGGAGGAGGAGGAGGAGGAGGAGGAGGCAAAAAACAATCCTCGATCGTTGAACCTCAGACGGACGGCGGGAAGCCGACGACGGCCCCCAAGACCCAGGGGGGCCCCGCCGGCGGGCGGCGCGGGCGCGGCCTGGGCCGCGCAGGCGGCCGCCTCGGCCTGTGCGCGGCGGGTGCCCAGGCGCCGGGTGGCTGCTGGAGGTGCCCCCCGCTCGGCCAGCGGGCCGGGGCTCCTCGAAGGGCGCCTACAGCGACGACGTCGTCCCTGGCCCTGGGGGGGCCCAAGGGTCTGTCTTGTGCGCTCTTTTGGCGCCCGCTCCTCTCTCAAACGACCTACCCGACCACCCCAACCGAATCCGAAGACTCGAATTACGGGTTGGGGGGAGTACGGGTTACATGTGTTTTTTTCCGATGTTCCCCGACCCCCCCCCCACTGGGAGTGGACGGAAAACTGGGGCCTTCGGGTTGGGTTTGGGTGGTTTAGTCTTTTGCCTGGATATCCGTAATCCCTGCAAGATGTTCCGATGATATATCATGGTCAGTGGGCTCCACAGATGACATGGGTAAGAAGGGATAGTGCCGTCAAGCATACAATAAGGTAGCGCTCAAGGGAAAAGGCCGGCCCGCCGGCCGACGCCCGCGCGCGCGCCGCAGGCTCGCTCCTTTTCCGTTTCCCCAGAGCCAGAATCTATAGCTGCGGGAGCAGGATAAGTCAGTACAGCAGGCGGACAGCGATTGCAAGGAGAGAGAGCAGGCAGGGCAAACGAATGGTGGTAAGGAAGGGGTGCATTGACTGGTTTGGTGGGCGGTGGTCTCTCAGTTCTGCTCAGGATGTCCGAAGGGGCCCCGAAAGTGGGGGTGCGCAGATCGTGGCACGAGGCACGGCGCGGAGAAGGCGAAAAAGCAGAAAGGGGCATATCAAGAACAGACAAGCGATACGACACACAGGCAAAACATAGAGATGAGCTGGCCAGCCTGGACCCCTAACAGTGCGCTTGCATGAAAAATACGGAGTGCTATAGATGTGGAGCAGTCGATGCTGTGCAGCATGCGTGGTGCAATCTATGTTGTGCAGTCAATGTTGTACCATCGATGTGGTGCACTACATGGAATGTGATACTTATATGTCCATACATGTAAATGTATGTGGTTATACATAGATATATGTGTGTGAGTGTATATATATATATGTATATGGTGCAATACATGTGGTGGAATCAATGTGGTGCGCAAAGCATGTGGTGCATTAGGCGCGTTGCAATCCACGTGGTGCAACACCTCTTGTGCTGTGTATGTGATGCAATGTACGCGGTGCAATCTAGGCGGTGTAATCTACGTGGTGCCAGCTGTTGGCGCAATCTATTATGTGCAGTATATGTTGTGCTACCCATGTGGTGCAAACTACGCTGTGCAATCCACTTTGACTGTCTTGAAGCTGTCCTCTCCACTGTTCGTGCAAACGTCGCACCCACCCACCCGCAACTTGGTTTGTAAAACCTGTTCAGACCGACTACGGCGACACCGACGACAACGACTAGGACGACACCGACGACGTCTCCGACGACTTCGACGACGACAACGACAACGACGCCGACGCCGAAGACGACGACGACGCCAACGAAGGCGACGACGAGGGAGGAGGAAGGACGACGACGGCGACGACGACGACAACGACGACAACAACGAGGGAGGAGGGAGGACGGCGACGACGCGAACGACGACGAAGGAGGAAAGACGGCGACGCCGACGACGACAACGACGAGGAGGGAAGACAACGACGACGACGACGACGACGACGACGGCGACGAAATAGGAGGGACGACGACGAGACGCCGACGACGGACGACGACGACGACGAGGGATAAAGAGGAAAGACGACCACGGCGACAACGACGACGGAAACGACCACGACGCCAAAGAGGACGACGACGACGACGAACACGAGGAAAGACAGAGGACGACGTAGGCGACGACGACGACAACGGCGCGGGAGGAGGGAGGACGGCGACGACGACGACGACGACGCAAGAGCGCGCGCGCACGCTTTTGTTGAAAATCCGTGTTGCGAAAGCTTGTGTTTTTGTCGGCTTTTAGGGTACACGATTTTGGCATCCTTCCGACACCGATGGGTTTTGCAGGTCTTCGGCATACGCGCGCGACGACGCGCGCGTCTGCACTTCGTCCTGCGACGGCACACGCGCAAGGGCGTTCGACAGATTTCGACATGAGCGCGCGCGAAGCCCGTTTGGTAGCATGTTGTGAAAATCTTGAAAAACCTAGGGTTTTCATAAGATGTCGCAAGAGTTTTCGCGGAAGTTATTTTTCCCAACTCTGTGTTGCGAAACCATGTGTTTTTGTATGCATTTTTTGACAACTCGATTGCAACATCCTTCCCGCACCGAAGGTTTTTGAAGGATTTCGGCATGCGCGCGCGACGACGCGCGCGTGCGCACTTCGTCCCATTTGTTGCAAGGGATTCGTGAAAAAGTGCTATGTTAGAGCAAACGATGTCACCGCATAGTGTTTTTTACAAAGGAACCTCAGGGGGGGGGGGAAACCGGCCTAGCTGGGATGGTACGGTTTCATATTTAGGATGGACGAGTGTGCATAATATATATATATAGATATGTGTATACATATATATATATATATGAAATCTACGATCCCAAGGGGAACCGATAAGTCCGGGGGGGGGTAGAGTCTATTCTCTTTTTAGAAAGGAAAATTAATTTCTCTTCGCAGTGAGTTGTCGACTCCACTGCTCGCGCATACATCCCACCCACCCACCCGCAACTTGGTTTGCAAAATCTCTTAAGACCGTGACGGTGGGTACCACATGGCACTTGGCAACAACAGCGACGCCGACGACGACAGCGACAACGACGATGACGACGCCGCCGGCAACGACTACGACGACACCGACGACGTGACGTCTCCAACGACTCCGACGACGCCAACAACGACGACGACGACACCGACGACGACGACGACGACACCGACGCCGACGACGACGACGATGACAACAACGACGACGATGACGACGCCGACGACGATAACGACGACACCGACGACGACGCCGACGTCGACGACGCCGACGACGACGACGACGACGACGACGGCGGCGACGACGACGCCGACGTCGACGACGACGAAGACGACAACGACGCCGACGCCGACGACGAAGACGACGACGATGTCGCCAACGAAGACAACGAGGAAGAAGGGAGGACGACGACGGCGACAACGACGACAACGACGAGGGAGGAGGGAGGACGGTGACGACGCGAACGACGGCGAAGGAGGAAAGACGGCGACGCCGACAACGGCAACGACGAGGGAGGAGGGACGACGACGACGACGACAACGACGACGACGACGACGGCGACGAAACAGGAGGGACGACGACGAGACGCCGACGACCGGCGACGACGACGACGAGGGAGGAGGAGGAAGGACGACCACGGCGACAACGACGACGGAAACGACCACGACGCCAAAGAGGACGACGACGGCGAACACGAGGAAAGACAGAGGACGACGTTGGCGACGACGACGACGACGACAACGACGCGGGAGGAGGGAGGACGGCGACGACGACGACGACGACGCAAGAGCGCGCGCGCACGCTTTCGTTGAAAATCCGTGTTGCGAAACCTTGTGTTTGTGTCGGTTTTTTGGGCACACGATTTTGGCATCCTTCCGAAACTGATGGGTTTTGAAGGTTTTCGGCATACGCGCGCGACGACGCGCGCGTCTGCACTTCGTCTATTTTTTTGCAGGGGATTCTCGCGACTGCACACGCGCAAGGGCGTTCGACTGATTTCGACATGAGCGCGCGCGAAGACCGTTTGGTAGCATTTTGCGAGAATCTTGAAAAACCTATGGTTTTTATAAGATTTCGCAAGAGCTTTCGCGGAAGCTTGTTTCGCAACTCTGTGTTGCGAAACCATGTGTTTTTGTATGTTTCGTTTCCCAACCATCCTGTGGTGTTGGGTCCTCGTTTTGAAGAGACAGCGCCCCGCGTCCCACCTCCTCTCCTCCTCCTCCCCCTCCTCGCCCTCCTCCCTCCTCCCCCTCCTTGCCTCTGCTCTCGGCACACCCCTCACACGTTTCGTAGCCCCATAGGGAGCTCCACCGAAGGTCCCAGTGGCACAGCCCGCATGCGTTCCCCCACCCAGGGCAGCGTTTCGTGGCCCCATAGGGAGCTCCACCGAAGGCCCCAGTGGCGCCCGCATGCGGTTCCCCCACCCAGGGCAGCGTTTCGTAGCCCCATAGGGAGCTCCACCGAAGGCCCAGTGGCACAGCCCGCATGCGGTTCCCCCACCCAGGGCAGCGTTTCGTGGCCCCATAGGGAGCTCCACCGAAGGCCCCAGTGGGGGTGTTCGCATGCGGTTCCCCCACCCAGGGCAGCGTTTCGTAGCCCCATAGGGAGCTCCACCGAAGGCCCCAGTGGGGGTGTTCGCATGCGGTTCCCCCACCCAGGGCAACGCTTCGTGGCCCCATAGGGAGCTCCACCGAAGGTCCCAGTGGCGGTGCGGTCCCCCCCACCCTGGGCAGCGTTTCGTGGCCCCATAGGGAGCTCCACCGAAGGCCCCAGTGGCTGCGGTTCCCCCACCCAGGGCAGCGTTTCGTGCCCCCCATAGGGAGCTCCACCGAAGGTCCCAGTGGCACAGCCCGCATGCGGTTCCCCCACCCAGGGCAGCGTTTCGTGGCCCCATAGGGAGCTCCACCTAAGGCCCCAGTCGCGCAGTTCGCATGCGCCCCCCTCCCCCCCCCACCCAGGGCAGCGCTTCGTGGCCCCATAGGTAGCTCCACCGAAGGTCCAAGTGGCGCAGTTCGCATGCGTCCGTCCAGTACTGCGTTTCGTGGCCCCATAGGGAGCTCCACCGAAGGTCCCAGTGGCGCAGTTCGCATGCGTCCTCCCCACACCCAGTACAGCGGTTCGAGGCCCCATAGAGAGCTCCACCGAAGGTCCCAGTGGCGCAGTTCGCATGCGTCCCCCCCCCACCCAGTACAGCGCTTCGTGGCCCCATACGGGGCTTCCCCGAATGCGATACCCACAACTGCATATGGTTGGGTCCTTCGCCAGGCTATTTTTTTTTTGCAAGGGAACCTCAGGGGGGGAAACCGGTTTGGCTGGGATGATACGATTTCATATTT